AGTTTAATAGTAATTTAATACAGACTGGCAGATCAGTTTGGTTCACTATTAATTATTTATTTACGATAAAAAGTGTCATTAAATATTCCTATGTGTCACTTGCAGGGCAAAATAAAATGCGTGTACGTCAATATTTTACAATGTCTGCAACTTTATTTAAGTATTATCTTGTCATAACTTCAACACTACTTGTCCTGAATCTTATTTTACTAAGCATACTCGCAATTGGCTTGCTAACTTTTAGTCACTAGTAATTAACCACAGCCATGGTTTAATTCGATTCGTTACAAATCATTCAATCAAAATGCAATTAAAAACTACTTCCGGCCAGATATTTGGTTGGAATGTGGAATATTTTAGCTATTGTATAAAATAAAAGTTTAATGTGACTGTGGACCCAATTTTGTACGAAACACACGCTGTTGTATGATCTCGAGTAGCCGACCCAGTGTTAGCATTAAGGGGCCAGACACTAGGAACGTAGCGCCAGCGACGTCCCTTTCACTTTCAGCAATTTTACAACCCTCGCCACCCCTACACAATGCAAAGAAAGAGATGTCTATTACTTATCGCGCCATATTCAGCAAGCTTTTTCCATAATCCTACAGTAATGAAAATAAGTTAAAATAGTTTTATATTCTAGTCCCCATTACTGTAATTGATATGTTTTAATCCAACACCTCTCACCACCTAGGTAGTTGCGCTATAAGCTGTTCAATATTAGAATTATTTTGCCTATTAGCTCACCGTATAGATGCGTCTATCACTTATCGCGCCATATTCAGCAAGCTTTTTCCATGGTCCTCCAGTAATGAAAATATAATTGATCTTTTTAATATAACACTTCTCACCACGTAGGTAATTGTGTAAGTCGTTGAAGCTATAAGCTGTTCAATATTAGAATTATTTTGCCTATTAGCTCACCGTACAGATGCGTCTATCACTTATCGCGCCATATTCAGCAAGCTTTTTCCATGGTCCTCCAGTAATGAAAATATAATTGATCTTTTTTAATATAACACTTCTCACCACGTAGGTAATTGTGTAAGTCGTTTAATATGTTGAATTCCTTTCTATTAGCTTGACGTATATGTCACTTATATCATGAAAAAATATTATATATAACAAATATGATGCATTGTTGAAGTCAAAAAACCTAGGATTAAAAATCGTGAAATTCCCGCATTGGAATGTTCTCCGAAAGCTTGTGCGCATACATTAAAGTAACGTTTTTTCTATGACTTTTGTAGGAAATAGTTTCCAATACAAGGCGTTGACCTGTCCAATATAAGACTGTTGTGAGTTATATTGTAACACAAACTATTTTTCGGGTAAATTTTATCACCCAAATTAAAAGTCATGTAGACTGTCATTGACCGCAACCTGTTATATACAATAAAAATTACTTAAATACTTAAAAATACTTAACTTTATTAATGTATAACAGCGAAGAACTAATGAAAGAACCGATGATACATTGCGTACAATGTTTACTCGCAACGAGATAGGAGGACCAAGCGCTGGTCTGTTGTAAGTTGATGCGAGTGTTCCTATTGTTTCGTCCTGGCACTTTTATGGCCTAGCATTCGTCAGATGCTCGACAGCCAACTTCAGTCTGGTAGACTAGAGGAGACTCAGTCAGGAGAGAGTAACTTCGCTCAGTTCACTTGGTTCGCTCCAGTATCTAATAAGAGCTTTCCATTCTGTCATGATTCTGTTCAGCGTTCACGCAACCAAAGCCGAATATTTTTAAGTTTCGAGTTTCAACTAAATAAATTTAATGGGAATAGCCACGGCCGCCTTTAACTCCGAATAGCCCACTTCTTTATGCTGAATGCCACCATCCTGCTCTGTGGAGATGGGCCTGGATATTAATCCAACAGAAAACCACAACTATAGCGTCTTGCTCCTAATTTAAGGAAATAATGTTGTGTTTCCCATGTATTTAAATGGGTTTCATAATCTAAACCAAAAAACCACCCGTTATTGGATAATATTTCTACTATTGAAGACTTGACGTTTTCAGAATTTTGCTTCCAACATACTCATTCATAGAACTCAACTCTGTACTATAAGGAGCGCATGCCCATCTAAATAAATAATTTGAAAACCGAAAACGACATTTTCCCATTTGGTTCTCCCTTGAGCTCAAATAAATAATCATCAAGAAAAGGCAACATCATAAATAGAATCTTGATGACCGTCTATATAAATTTTGTGGTGATCAAATAACGTGCAGTACGTAGACTAACGAGGAAATGTTACTCAGCATTTATTTAATTTATGGACTCGTTTTTGAAAAGTAACCTCCGTGTCTTTTGGTGTATGTCAATTCGTCTAAGAAGACTTAATCATGTTCCTTCCCGAATGCAGCTATATAAAGAATAATCAGCTGAATCTGACATCCCTAACCTTTTTTAGTTGTTTTCTAAGTGTTTCCTCCGTATACGCAAGTCTACATATCCATCTCCACCACCACGACTTCAAGGCATTTACCTCAATCTCATCTTGCTATGTGAGCTATGTGTATGTGAAAATGAGTTGAACTCGTTTGAAGGGAACTATCCCAGACGACGACATTTCTCAATTGGTTCTGAAATTCTGTTGAAGCTTTTTAGCTTCACTCCTTACCGTATACTTCAACCTGCTCATGGCCGACTGGCATCTTGCCCTTCAATCTCAATTTGGGTTATATAACACCTGTCTTCAAATCTGGTTACCCCGCTGATGTCAAGAACGATCGCCCGGTGGTAGTTATACAGTCAACAATTAATTGCCAAGATTTTCGAATCCCTTGGTTCTCAATAGCGATTGGCATTCCATCTGAAGATTAACATATGTACCGAACAACATGTTTTTATGAAGGGGCGTTCGGTACTATCCTACTACTACTAGCCTTCCAATTTCACATTCTCTTTGCCTTCACGGAATCTCATCAGGTGGATGCCATATACACTGAACAAAAGGCTTGAAAGAGTAAGTCACGAACACCTTGTGGCCAAGCTTTTGACTTATGGCGGATGCAGGTTGAGAATTGAATTGTCTCCCGGGTTGTTCTCTTCAGGAACAGGTTGCTGCTGGCTGTTTGTCTCAACCTCCTTCTGCTGTTTCCGGTATGTTTCAGAGGGATCACTTTTGGACCCTGTTCTTTTTCCAATGTATATTAACGACAATTGGTACAGCACACTCAGGTATCGAAAGTTCTGTTCTTGACTGATGATGCATAATTCTACAAAACAATTCACATCCTGAATTATTTCCAAACTCTGCACAGCAGTATTGACACGACCTTGAATATTTTTTAAATGCTCCTCCGTGATATCCTTTTCCAGTTCTAGCACACCTATCTCTTTTCCAACTCACTTAACGATCAGCCCCTCTCATGTTCATTTATGATGATCAAGGACCTTGGCGTCATGCTTCCTCCAAATTTCAACCCTCAAGAACATACCATCAATTATATATGTAAGAGAGCTAATTTTGCCCCATATTTCACTAAGGAATTCAGCCGCGCGGAAGTTCAGCTCTATTCATGTCTCCTATGTTCATCCTCTACATCCATCTAGGCCTTTACTTGAGTTTTCTTCACCTGTTTGGAGCCCTTATACCTTATTGGATAAATCGAGATGAGAACGTTCAGAGCAGTTTCATTCATTTAAATGATTGGTGTGCTTTAATTGAACTTTATGCTACACTGCATACGCAAAACGTGAAATCAATGACCCTAATGGACAATGAGTTCCTAAGGAAGCTGATTAACTCGGAAATTGATGCCCCTTTCTCTACTTTTGCAAGTTGGACCTCCACGGACGCATCTCTTCATCTGCACCAAACCCATCTGTTCGCTAAACGACAATCCTGTTGGCCAAGCTCAAGAGCTATGGAATCGGGGGTTGTTATATGAACACTTTGAGATTAGCTACCTGGATGATCGTTAGCAGTTAAGTGTCACTCAATGGAACCTTATCAAGCGAGCAGATTATCCCCCAAGGGTTGATGGTCGGATGACTTAATTGCTCGGCATAATGATCAACGATCTGCACATAATGGGCAAATCGTATATTTTGCTCACGGTGCCAAACTTGGTGGAAGAATAGTGAGTGATAAGAATAAAGAAGCACGGCCACCTTTAACTCTAGACTGCGGCCTTCGAAGTGGCAACATCGCAAGTAGGGTTGTAGCAGCTATTTTGTTTAGATGGCGAGCTAATGGTATTTGTGCATGTTTTAAGAATACGAAAGCTTGGTTACTGGTCTATGAAAATATTGACTCCACCTTAAATGTACAAAAATATATTTTCAGTTAAAATATTGTTTTTGTTTTCAATTCTATGTTTTTTTATATTTTCAATCTTTTGATAAATTTATGTTCATAAAATATTTAAATGAATAATACGAGAGTTGACGAGCTAATGTCACCTGTCTGCCGTTTCATCTTATGGGACGTCTCTGGTGCTAGACAACACTATTCGCAACGTGGCCAATTCTAAAGTTGGCCGTGAAAGAAGACAAAGTATCTAAGTAAGTAAGAAACTACGACCTTTGAGATACAATAATTTATTGTTTTATGATCAATGAGTTTACCCTCTATCCAAGCTCTAGGTCTCATTAAAAATGCTGAAATGTACTCATTTTCTGTTACAATTTACTGCATAATAAATCTTGTTTATCATTTTAATAATGTAAATGTATTTTTTTGGCTCAATTAATTACATTATTGATCTTTCAAATTTCCGTTAATTATAACAACAATCATATTAGGCCATGTGATGTTGCATTGAATTACAGTATGAACTGTCAAAGCTTTTCTTAAAATCAAAGATTTCAGATAATTAAACATCTTACGCTTCTATTAGGTTATCAAGCTTCACTCTCCTAGAAAAAGGACAGCTGGATTCGGATTTTCAGCTTTCAGCTAGTTGCTTGTTCGCTAGTTGTTTTGTCTGTTAGTGTGTGGTTAGTGTCAACTGTCAATGTCAAATCCAAATGTCGAAACGAAAACGAAATGTCAGTCAATTTTGTTTTGTTATTTGTCAGTTTCAGTTTCAGTCAGTTTTCAGTTTGTTACCAGTAAAGTTGAATTTTAGGTTATAAAGTTTAAGTTGTTTGATATTAATCGGTATATTTAGGCCTTGTATTATAAAATGGTGTTGTATGATGAAGCACTCATACCTTTAGCTAAAAATAAACACATCAAATATTTTATGTACCATCTAGATATTATTCCGTCTAGTTTATCAAATTTTGATACCACCAGGTAATAAATTAGTCCTACTCCAAACAATTTATTATATTTGCAGTACGTAATACTATTTAAGTTTTCTTGAAAGCCTATTTAAACATATTTTAAACTTAAACCTAAGTACTTTACATAGTAGGCCCATAAGTGAGAAATCTTTAGTCCTTACTATATCATTGTATTTTGACATTATTAGGTTATGGTTGAAATAAAATTAATTTAATATATAACTTATATTCTTGGTAACTTATTTATCATTGGGCTACTAAGATGCTATCTAACGAAAAGGTAACTTAGCCTATGTTATATAGTTCGGTAACAAGACTAGGGTTTGGACAAGTCCCTTACGAAAACAATGAAATGCCAAAGACGTCCATATACTCAGAATGAAAAATAAGTTTTCAAATTCTATAGCCTCCACATACAAAACATATTAAACACTTTAAAATTGACAAGTTAAGGTACCAACTATTTATTGCACTGTTTACAAATGCCTCTGTTAACCATCATAGGAGACTTGATGATAGTATATATATATTTTAAATAATAGACTACCTAGTAATTTAATTTTTTATTTTTCAGATTAACAATAGCTTTCTTTGCAATTTCTGGATTAGATATACTGAATGGATTATCATCAATATCTGATACGAGAAAGAAAGAAATTTGTAATTGGATATATGGCCTTCAAGTCCTCCCAAGTTCTGGTAAGTATGCCGGAACCAAAAATTTTAAGCCGAGTTACCTGTATTTAAGATGAATCAGGTTCTCATTCCCAGGATTAAAGTCCTAGTTCTGGGATGTATGTAAATTTCAAGTACGCCTACGTGAAATGTAAATTCTTTAATTTACAGGAAAAATCACCCTTCACAAAGTCTTTTACATAACACAACCATAAGTTACTGTTTTTATTATTGAAAAGTCTTTTTGGCCTCTAGTGATATAAAAAAAAAAATCTGTATCGGGTCTCTAAGTTAGGTCTTTTCCTAACCGGACCTACAGTTAATAGCTTCTTCCCTATGGGGAAATTCGCTACAAGTAATTTCATACCACCACATTTGTTCAAACTACACAGAAAATACCACCCCCTCCGCAGCAAACTTGCAGGCTAAGTGAATTTCAATTTTTCTGGTTGGATTTTTACTAAAATATTTCCATAAACAAGACGTTACTATTTAAATAACATTAAATTAAATTTGCTATACGGGGAAGGTAAATAGTGTTTGGTCCAAATGTTAGTACAGGATAAAATAATAAATTTGCCAAATGTGATTAAAATTCATCCATAAACAAGTAAACCACAACAGTCTTCTTTTTCTCTATAAAAATCTTAAATGAAGTTTATTTTAATTTTCTCTGTAAACCTTAAATTTGGCAACAACACTTCAATAGCCTACATACAATTATTTGTTTTTTTTACCTAACCCGCCATGTTAAACTTCCCTACCCCAAGCGTGATGTATATAACTTCGTTACTTCTCGAGTGATGTAAAGTTGAAAAAAACTCACTCGGTGATGTAATGAAACCCATTTAAATAACATTGAGTGGATAACTTAAAAAATATACCTCTATGGAGCCAACGACGTTCAACGCTAGAAATCAGCTAGGTGTGCTTGAATATTATTGTTATGCTTTAAAGAATTTTCCTAACCTAGCTTTTGTTTGTAAATGAACGTTACTGTTAGAAGATGAGTGAAATGGATAATGAAGCATATTGCTCCTAACCTCCTGTATATTGTCGGGTCAGGTAAAATCTTGTACGTTACACGTTACGCAAGAGCGTGTTTACATCACTTCGGTGAACTATGCAACTCGCTTTCGCTCGTTGCACAACATTCGCCTGCGTGATGTAAAAACGCTCTTACTACACTTGTAATGTAAATAGCTATTAAATCTCTACACGATGTTATTATTGAAAATCAGGCATTCCCATGTTTTAAAGGAAAACAATAAAAATTTTTTTTTGGAAATTTCAAAACTCTATAACACCTTGTACCTATGACAAAATCTCGCACTATTTTACAAAAACAAAAAAATCTCTCTGTTTCTCAAACTCATTCAAGTTTATACCGCCCTATACCTTCAAGTCACATTTCATCAAAATCAGACAAAAATTACTTGAGTTATAGCGTTCACAAACACAAACAACACATTTATATGAATAATATATATCAATATATATCTCATATTAAAACATATAGGCCTTCATGTATAGACAATTTGAACCGAATTATAAGTGTTTATAACCTCTGGGGACATCAAAGTGAAAAAGTAAATCGGTCCCCGACCCAGGTCTTACTGTGCTACCTACGTTATAGGGAAATTCGCTAAAATATAATAACTTGTTTTACAGATGGTGGATCGGAGAAATGTGGATTCCAAGGTTCCAGCACACTCATGTATGAAGAAGCAGGTCGAAGGTCATTTATATCCACCTATGCCTGTGGTCACTTAGCCATGACCTACACAGGGTTGGCAGCACTGGTGATCCTAGGGGATGATCTGTCTCGTGTTGATAGACACGCTTGTGTTCAGGGAGTGAAGGCACTTCAACATGATGATGGAAGGTATGGTAACTTTTCTTTACCTTTGACATTACTATGGGCTTTATATTATATATTCTATATTATATATATATATATATATATAGGCCTATATATATATATTATATATATATTCTATATTCTTCTAAAGAACCTGCTGGTGTTTGTCAAAAAAGCTAATTCCCTAAAAAACACAGTCTGTAATCTTATTGAGGGTAAAAATTGTTTTCATGTAAAACTTTAAATGTTATTCATTATTATTCATTGTGACCCTTGGTTGGATTATATTATTGATAAAATAAAATAATACCTTATCCAACCACAGTTCTTTGTATGATGACTAGTTTCGTTCCTAGAATTGTGTCATCATTAGATCATGCAACCACATCATCAATATATTAATACATGTTGGTATGTCAATGTCAATAGGTTCTTTAAAAGACTGTCACAGTCGCACTAGTATAACCTTGTCATGTTGAAAAATTAATTCAAATGGAATACAAATGATAAACGGATTAAAACTGTACAGGCTGGCCAGCACTGTCTTATCACTGAAACTGACTAAATAAAACTAACTGAATCATGATGCTCCTTATTTTCTTATCTCCAGTGCCACCTGTATTTCAGTTTGTTTTGTTCTTCTTATTTTATACTTCTTTGATTGGTAACTTGTCAATATATGTTTTAAATTAATATTAGACTGGAAAGAGGTCTGACGATTTAAAATATTACATGGGTCAATTTTTATTGCTTTGAAGATGGTGAATTCTTCTTTGACATCAAGCTTAAAATTTTTGGGTAATACTTTAACTATTCCATGTTTGTTTTAATAAGTACCCTAAGTTGACACTATTTAATGTGTGCTCACTCTTTTTGGTAGGCCTATACACTTTTTCAAAACAGATATTTTACTCTTGTTTAAAGCTGTTCACACCACTTATAATCTTTCTTTTAGAATTACTTCTTTCCCCCACCCCTAATAGTAAACCCAACACTCTCATTAGGCTAAATACGAATAACATTCTGTGATTATATTTCATAGGCGTCTGACGCTTATTAAATTGTTTGCCAGTTGAAAGATGTGTATTGCTGAAGCGTTTTTACGATAGATGTGCATAAGTATCTTAAGGAGTTCATAGAAGGCCATAAATAGCGAAGCTGGCAGCAAATGATCATCTGGTTCTATCAAAACTTGATTAAAATTGAGAAAACCTTGATGATCAGTGTGACACGTGTCGCATCACACGGAATCGACTACCTTACAAATAACAAGCCTCGTGTATTTTTGATAAAATAGGCAGCTTAAACAACTTTGATTTTGACTTAAGTTTAATATTTAAATATTTTTTTACAAAACCCAGACCGGTTTAATATTTTTTTAATTAAAGGTCCATGTAAGATTAGACACAGAAGTATAAATGTGGACTCTTTTTAGTTTTTTAGAGTCAATTTTTGACTATTGACACATCTTTACATTGTACTAAGCAAACTTTACTTCTCTGGCTCTTAAGATGTAACACTGTACTCATGTATGTAAATAAAGATAATTGATTGACTATAGACATTAATGGTAAGCAAATTACAATGCTGTTGACATTTCAGCTTCTGTGCCACGTTGTCAGGCAGTGAGAATGACATGAGGTTCGTGTATTGTGCGGCCTGTGTGTGCTACATGCTCAATGACTGGTCTGGAATGGACATTGAGAAGACTGTATCATTCATCACCAAAAGCATGGTTAGTCAAATGTGTAAGCAATTTTATTTGCATTGGTCAAGAATGTTCAAACATTTAACTTCATAAAACCACAATTAAATAAAAAAAAACATTATTAGTTAGATATTGTATTTAAGATTGATGTTCGTAAAATAAACTAACTTCATGTTCGCCTTGACTGATAAAATAAGCAAACATCTTTGAATACGCTTATCTTAAAAAAAAAACTTTGGTTAGCTGACATTCATTTTCTTGTCTTGCGTTAGTATTACTGTTGTAAATGGACTTAAATTATGTAGAATGATAAAGAGAAAGGTGTTTTAGGTACAAAGTTTTACTCAATACAAAACAACAACATAGGCTAGCTTTCCACAAAACACATCTGGTATCCATGACAACTAACTTATACATAGAACACATGTGATACCAAAATGAACTATTCACACAAATCATATTTCAACACCCTCCTTATTTGTGGAATCCCTGGAACTTAATGCAGTCTCTGAATTTTTCACAGTCAAGCCTTTGTTGGAGAATAGGTGAAAATGTTTCGTCATAATCTGTTCCCCTCCTTTGAATGAATCCTTTGACAATGTTCCCCTCCTTTGGTCGAATCCTTTGACAAGTCACCTGACCCTTGTCATTTTCCTTTGATTTGAAAACCCATTTACAGTTTAAGGGTTTCCTCAAGGCTGGGGTTTCGACCAATTCACAAGTCTTATTTTCGATTTGAGACTTAAACTCACGGTTCATAGTGTTCTTCCAAGAGTCTTTGAACTCACTATTCAATGCTTCTTCGCGAGATATTGGATCGGATAGCTCGCCAGAGAAATAAGTAACATAATCGTTCAACGCAACTGGGAGGTTTCTGACGCGCTGCGGTCGAGTTGTTGTGTCCGGAATAATGTTCATGTCAGTAAAATCAGTTACATCGTCGTTACTTCGGTTTACATCGGATCCTGTAGGAAGCACATCATCATTATTGGGCACACTTGGACCGGTTTGTGTCTGACCACTAGTACTGTCCTGACTATCAGACACATTTCCTGTAGGTTCGGGAAACACGTAAAAATCTAAGTCTTTATTCACATTTTTCAATAAAGAACTTCCCCATTGATTTTCAGAAAAGGTAACGTCCCTAGATATGAAAGTAATTTTCTTCTGAGGATCATACAACCTGTACCCTTTACTAAACTGACAATAACCAACAAATATACAGGGAGTAGATCGTAGACTAAGTTTTTTACGTTTCTCGGCAGGAATGTGAGCAAATGCCTTACAACCAAAAATTCTGAGATGTTGTAGAGTAAGCTTCTCACCTGACCACACTTGTATTGGAGTTGGTTCCACGGACCTGCATGGTGATCTGTTCAGAAGGTAAGCAGCAGTATTTACAGCTTCAGCCCAAAAACTAGATGGAAGCCCAGACTCTATCAGCAAACATCTTGCTCGTTCTAGGAGGGAACGGTTGAGACGCTCTGCCTTTCCGTTTTGCTGAGGTGTGTAAGGACATGTAGTTTGATGCACAATACCTGATGACTTAAAAAACTCAGTTAAGTTGCGATTACAGTACTCCGTACCATTATCTGTACGCAACACTTTTATCTTCTTGTCAGTTTGTTTTTCAGCATACTCTTTGAACGTTTTAAAGTGACCATTGACTTCGTCCTTTGATTTTAAAAAATAAACAAAACACATGTGACTGTAGTCATCTAAAAAGGTCAAAATATACCTAGACCCACCAAGACTATTCACTTCCATAGGACCTACCAAGTCAGAATGCACTAGCTCCAGATAATGACTGCTTTTAGACTCACTCTTAGGAAAAGGTAAACGATGGCTTTTTCCTAACATACAGATATCACAAATAGTTTCTGGCTTACTACCAGAAATGTTGATATCATCAGCCAAGCCATCAACTAATCTTGTAAGGCTATCGAAATTCAAATGTCCCATACGCTGATGCCAGAGCGTTAAGCCACTGCTTTGCATGGATAATGCAGATGTGTTCATAGGCATATCCAACTTAAACAGGTTGTTTATTAAACTAGCAGAAGCAATGAGCTACCCTGTTGAATTGAAAACTTTGGCTCCATCACTATTGAATACCACAGAGTTTCCTTTATTTACAATTTGACTCACTGATAAAAGATTAACTTTTAAGTTAGGCACAAAATGTACATTACTTACATTTGCTTCCGAGACCTCACCAGAAATACATATTGGAAGCTCCAAATCACCGACGGTATCAGTCACCATTGTCTCATTATTCGCTGTGGTGATCGTTAGTGCTTGGCCTTTTCTTGCGTTCAGAAGCATATTAGCATCAACACATAAATGACAAGATGCACCGCTGTCTAAAAAGAACTCATTATTAACGCCCGATTGCATTGAAAATGCAGCAAAGAGTGACGTATTAGATTTGCCAGAGTTTACGTTATTTTTGCCCACTTCTCTTGTAGATGTACAATTCTTCGAGATGTGACCGTAAACATTGCATTTATAACATCTCGGACCTTTCTTCACATTTTTGTCCGAACTACTCGTGTTTCTGTTCTTTTGATACACTTTGTGAACAGTTTCTCTTGAACTGGAACCATACAGTGCAGAATCAGTTCCTGCAAAAGTCATATCACGTTGTACTGGAGACACATCTTGCAATAACTTCGTTTTTATCGCATCCGCCGTGACTTTATTGCCGGAAGATTCAATTCCCATTATCATTGGTTCATACCGGATGGGTAAACCAGCTAGTAAGATTGTTCCAACCCATTCATCGGTTACCTGCAGACCCACATTTGTAAGCTTGTGAGCAGTTGTGACTATGCGGTTCACGTATTCCTCAACAGAACTACAATCTTCCAGCTTTGTAGTTATTAGAATACGGAGAAGTCCAACTCTCCTGCTTAATCCATCATCTTGAAAAGCCTTCGTTAAATTGTCCCAAGCTGCCTTTGCGGTGGTTGTGTTTTGAATATGTACATAATTCATCGGATCAACCAATAAGATCAGCTTTGATCGAAATTTAGTGTCCTTTTTCTTATCCTGTTCTACACCAGATACACAGTCCCACAAATCCAAATCTTCCAGGTAAGCTTGTACTGCAAACTTCCATGTATCAAAATTCTCACGACCTTTAAGCCTTTCAATTGGTAATGAATTTTGAGTCATATTGCTGTTACAAACTTATGAAGTTGGTATTCTTTAAATGAAGCACTGAATAAAATATCCTGGGCCCATAACCTGTTGTAAATGGACTTAAATTATGTAGAATGATAAAGAGAAAGGTGTTTTAGGTACAAAGTTTTACTCAATACAAAACAACAACATAGCTTTCCACAAAACACATCTGGTATCCATGACAACTAACTTATCTAACAAAAAACCACTAAGTGGTAACACTTCCCCCGCCAAGTCAGCAACCCAAAAAAGACAATAAATCACCACTTTTCCGCCAAGTAAAACAATGTAATGTATGTAAGTTTGGCAACTTGGCGGCAGACTTTTGCTTGTTTTTTTTTCATTAAAGTTACGTTGGTGGATAATTTCACAAATCAACTTCTCTAATTAATTAGTCCAACTAAGTATAATAATTTCGAGGTAATCAGTAAATATAAAACCATCACTATTATGATTTTATGAAATGTGACACAAATAAGGTCAAATTTTGTAAAATAAGCTCTCATCTAGCAATGTACTATTGGGAGAGATACTTGCTCAATGAAACTAATTTTATGGTATTTTTTAAAGTGATCAAGCAAAAGTCTGCCGCCAAGTGGCCAAACTTACATACATTACATTGTTTTACTTGGCGGAAAAGTGGTGATTTATTGTCTTTTTTGGGTTGCTGACTTGGCGGGGGAAGTGTTACCACTTAGTGGTTTTTTGTTAGATTGTATTTATTTTTGTAGAAAATTAACAGTTAAAATAAAAATCCTCTTTTCTCTTATATATAGACCAGGGCACAACTACACATAAAATGCATTGGTGTTACAAAAGTGTTCCGATAATTAAACCCGTATATCTAAAGACTAGTGTAAATTGAGCCCTTATTAGAGAAGTAAAAATGTAATCAAACAGATTAGGTTTGTTAGAAATAGCATAAGGCAAAACAAATATTGAAAAACTCATTTTCACCACACTATCATGTTTTTGGCTGTATTACATACGTTAATTGGTGGCCGAAAGTTACGTTTTGCTGGCGATGCCAGCTGTCCATAATTTGGGGACCGAGCAGGTTTTTACAGGCCGGGGCCGCAAAATCAGCTGTCCGCTTACTTACTTAAAACATGAATGCATTTTAAATACACAATCAAAATCCATAGCATTGCAATAGGATTGTGTTATTGTCACCGTTGCCTAGCAACTGTTTATTTTTATTTTGCTGATTCCTCAAATTATTTCTTCACATAACCTTAAAGTTGTAGTTGTGTTGACTATCAGTGTGCATTATTATAGTGGTGAATAGTGGTAATACGGTATAGTGTGGTGAAAAATAGCGTTCGTACCACGGACCAAAATGGTTTTGCAGCTCTCGATCGATTTAAGTTCTCGACTTCGTCTCGAACTTAAAAACTATCTCGAGCCGGCAAAACCTCATTTTCGGCCCTAGGTACGAGATATACTATTTTATCCTAAATTTACATATCACTTTTTACATTCACTTTTTTGCTTGTTTAACATACGTAGACGGATTTTCCCGATTGTTTTATTTGTTTTAGTGTATCAAAACATAAAACTAACCTTATTTAGTTAAATAAATTTTGGCAATATTATGAAGAAACAATGTTAAAACTAACCTTAGTACTAGTACTAAGTTTCAAGTTCCTAGGTTTCATATGTTTTGATAAGTAGTATTAAACTGTTAAAAATGACGAGCTGCTGTACCAGTGTACCATCGGTACACTGCATTTTTCAATGGAAAGTATCGGGGAATATCACTGCTCTAAGTAATTTTATATAGTAAGTAGCTCAAATCATTCGGTATACCTGAAAAAAATACTTTATAAAAGTTTTAAAATAATTTTTCAGCTGATCCTATGAATTTCTCTAACATTTTAAATTAATTGAGATTTAATCGCAGCTGATCCTTCTTTTGTTTTGATTTTAATTCCATGTTATTTAAATGGGCCAAAATCGTACTTTGAGGGCTTGCCAAGGGTTTATGGGTCAACGCACCGACTTGTGACCCTCAAAAGGCACATCTACACGCTAAGGGCTTTCAAACAACATAAAAAACATTAAAATTGAGCCAGTGGTTTGGGCTGTAGGTCCGTCAACATTTAAGGAGAAGAAGGAGAACACGGAAAATTTGTGAATTTTCAAACTAGTTTTTCTTGGCTCAAACACAACCTTTTTTTAAATCCTTTTTTTTATTTTGCCAAGAATGAGTGCCCCTATCCAGTGGATGAACAATTATTTTAGTAGCTTTTGTTTCTTCAGAGCTATAGACGAGTAAAAAAGCCACTTTGTCACGTCATGTATATATACACTGCAGCAGCTGTGTACCGCTGGGGGACTTGGCGGGGCGGAACGCTGCCGCGTTCCTTAATACATAGAACACATGTGATACCAAAATGAACTATTCACACAAATCATATTTCAACAATTACTAAGTCGTCAAGTTTAAGATCCATCCGTTGCTGCAAGAGACTACTTTCTTTAAGGCTTTTAGGAAACTCATCAGGGAACTACAATTGCTGGGAACAATTGTCACTAAAAGCTGAATCTGTACATCAATTCCCTTCTTCTCCTGGCACCTTTTTCAAGTACTTTATTGTCAAAACGATATTTGTTAAGTGGACTCAGAATAGCACATTTGCAGGAATCACTTTTATCATTTTTTAAAGTTTCACTTGAATGAATATATAACATCTACTAATGTTCCATTCCTAAAAACCATGAAAATTAACACAGATGCCGATTATTTGCGACTACTGGATGGCAGTGTAAAGTTGTTAAGTTCTCTTCTATACAGACCATCTACCGTCACCACAGCACAGGTTAAATAAACCAAATCAAGTTTTCATATTTAATTAATTGAAAATGTTAATATTTTCTTAGGCCTACCGCACACGAGAGACTTTTTAGTCGTAGTCGGGAGTCAAAGTCGGCCCCATAGTAGTAAATCTGAGCGCGCACACGGGCCGACCGCAGCAAGACAGTTGGCAGACTGTCTGCAGACAGTCGGGGCAGTTTGGTGCTGACCGATTTCTCCGCCGACTGCTCCCCGACTCAACTGTCGTGTCTTATTGATAAAGGCATGGAGATAAGTTTGATCGCGCACACTGACGATTAAAAAGTCTGTCTGTCTGACAGTCGAGTGCATTGTTATCATGTGTATTATTATTGTTATTATGATAAGTATTATTATTTGTGTGTTATTGTTATTATTATGGCTTCGACAACCACCAGTGCAAGTGTTTTGAGGGACGAGAAAGTTGATAAACTTATTGATGAAGTTGAGGCACGGTCCCCTCTTTATAAAAAGACTTTGAAAGAGTATTTGGTCATAATAAAAAAAAATACCCCCGCTGCAGCAAACCTGCAGACTAAGTGAATTCCCATTTGCCCGATTTAATGTTTTATTTAATCTATTTCAATAAAATTAGGATAAACGAGTACCTAGCTTTGCTGCTACAGGGAGGGTATTCAGGATGTGTTTTAGTAAAACATTAATAGCTGAGTATAAAACAAATAGATTTGCCAAGTTTTATCAAAATACATCCATAAACAAGCAAACTACAACAGTTTACTTGTTCTACATATAAATTACATGACAATTTTAACTTTAAACATTTTGGAATTTCCCTGTAACCATTATAACAATTAGCATGCTAAATTATTTGTTTTTCAAGCTCTGCAAAATGTTTTCTAAAGAAATTGCGGAATCTTTTGTTTTTATGGTAAAAAAAATGGGAAACCCCCATTTTTACCCGATAAAACCCCCCATAAACCCCCGTTCCCATAGTCATGCTGGTTTGTGAACTCATTCAAATAAATACATGTAGATTTACACGTTTGTACCAAATTTCATCAAAATCAGATAATTTTGTTCGATTTATCTTGCTAACGGACAAATATATATATATCTAATATATAAAATTCTCGTGTCACAGTGTTTGTCTGCAAACTCCTCCGGAACGACTTCACCGATCGTTATGAAATTTGGTGTGTAAATTCTGTAGGTATGCGAATCGGACGTAAACTATTTCCCGTTTCGAAATTCTTAAAAGGGCTCCGCCCCAGTGGCTCTGGAGTTTCCCATGTTAACCTTATGAGAAATGGAATTAATGAATCTTAACAGCTGTTTCAATTAAACAAGTTGGTTCTGTTCTATGATGTTCAATAGCACAAGGAGCACAAGGTTGGTTAAGTTACAAGGATTACCAACAGGGTGCAGCACTATTATTTCTTTTACATTTATGACATCAGCTAATTTGCAACCAAAATGTGAGTGAGCGTAGCGAACGAACTTCAACCTGGAGGCGAGTGAGCGTAGCGAACGAGCTAACCTGAAGGCAAGTGAGCGCAGCGAACGAGCTCCAACCTAAAGGTGAGTGAGCGTAGCGAACGAGCTCCAACCCAAAGGTGAGTGAGCGTAGCGAACGAACTTCAACCAGGACGTGATTGAGCGATGCGAACGAACTTCAACCAGGACGTGATTGAGCGATGCGAACGAGATCATCTTGAAAATTAAACGTAACGGTACTTTCTTTCCATCGGTCTGTCTTAGGGGAAACCTATAACTTAGGCGATACGAAGTTCGCCGGGTCAGCTAGTATATATATATATATATGTGTGTGTGTGAATTTGAACGGATAGTGTCTTTGAAACACTATGTGTGTATTTGAAGCTGGGGTATCAACAATTGGTAAAAAAATCAACAAACATTCATGAGCACATGAAAAATTTGTCCGGATATTTCCTCAAATCTGAGTATAGAGGTAAATCTGGCCTTTCAAGGTTCTCAGACTATAAATTAGATGCACCCAGTATTTTCTCTTAAGTTTTCTTGCACAAAATCTTGTCAGTAAAGCACATATGACAGCGGTTTCTGTCATATACATCCATTTGACACTCGAAAGACGACTAAACAGTCGGGTCGTGTGCGCACCCATAGTCAACAACCAAACAGTCTTGACGACTTTTCGATTGTCCCCCCGACTCCAGCCAGACAGATGGCCAACAGTCGGCCGACAAAAAGTCTCTCGTGTGCGGTAGGCCTTAGGCCTACAACAGAACAAAACTTTTCTTTGGTTTATTCAAAATTCAGACAGTTTAGACAATATTTGTTAAAAACTGTTTAAATAAAGTTAAAGAAACTAAACAGTTGTTTATAAATTTATTATCAATTTAATTTTCTTACAGTCGTACGACTACGGGATTGGTCAAGGGCCTGACCTGGAGTCCCACGGAGGTGTCACATATTGCGCTGTAGCGGCTCTCACACTCATGGGAAGACTACATAATGTATTCAGCAGAAAACAGGTAATATTTTTTACGGATTGCATCAATTTAGTGGCTTCAATATCCACAGTTAGTCTCTTTATCATTGTCCCTTTAAATAAAGCTCCTTCCAGCTTCCACTTACTGTAGATGAATCCCTTCCATGTTCATCTCAAGTCCTTTTTTTATTATATCTCACCAGTTCTTTTGTTTTGTTTTAACTCTTCTCTTTCCACCAATTTCTTTCTTAAGCTAAATTTTTGCCATGTCCTTGATCTATCCTTCAAAATACAATGTTTCATCCTTCCACACTTCATCCACCCTAAGAAAACAATATTTCCTATTTTGAAATAAACTACTCAAGACATGCATGCCACACTGGTTTGAACTACAGTTGTCTAATACCCATAAAATCCTGTCTCATCTTGTTTTTATATAGACGTAGGCCTAGTCAAGAATATCATTTCTGAAGAGTGTATGTGCGACTAAATAAAATTATAAAGTATGTAAAAATGAGATTGGAAAGATTCAGCAGCGTGTGATTTTCATTTTGAGTTGTGATTTCCTAATTTGAAGGTAATAGTGATTTGTTTATGGTTATTGTTCACAAACATTTTTTGTTCAGATATTTGGTTAGGCTTAATTTGTAACTTTATGATATGTGTTTTAACTATACAGAACATTACATTTTCTTTCAATCCGGTTTAAAAAAAACATGTGAATGATCTGACAGATAGAAGGCCTGAAGAGGTGGGCAATCTTCAGACAAGTTACTGGCTTCCAAGGAAGACCTAACAAACCAGAAGACACATGCTACTCTTTCTGGGTTGGAGCTACTCTTAAGGTATTGTCTCACATTTTTAGTTTACTACACAGTAGACTCTCAGTAATCCGGCAGGTATAGGACCGTGATACTGCCGGGTCAGCGAAAATGCTGGATTACTGGAATGTTATCAATAAAACACTTAAAACATGTCTCTGAAGATCGCACGATTGGAAACCGCTATTGCCACAATCGTGCATGACAACGAAGACGTTTCGGTAACCGCAGGAAGCGATGATAATGTCTACAAATACGACATACAACAAAAAAAACACATCTCTCAAAAAAAATTATATCTCCATGTGTATAAGTCAGTTATTGGCTGCGGGAGATGATCAGCATTTTGCTGGTAACGCGGAAGACATCGATAATGTCTAATAGGATGTGGCCATGGGAGATGTTCAATATATCGCCGTGATCGTGCAAGATGACGACGATGTTTTCAGGACCGCGGGAGGCGATGATCATGTCTACACGGCCGTCGGAGATGATCAGAATTTTGCTGCTAACGCGGAAGACGACGATAATGTCTACACGACTGCGGGAGATATTCAGAATTTTGCCACGATCGCGGAAGACCTCACCCGTCAAAAGACGCCGGATTACTGGAGTGGCGCAGTGCCGTATTAGAGAGGGTCTATTGTAATATGTTAGTTTTAATGTGATTGAAAATGTTACTTGCTATAACTCAGCCAACCTAACTGTTCCAACACTGGAAAATCTAAAGAGTGCAAATAGAAATGAGTCTTCTTCCAAACTTCTACACATTGTTGTGGTGACGGTAAACAGATTCATTCAGGGTCAGGGCGCCACGGCTTTGGAAGGTAAAATATTTAAGTACGTTATTGGCAAACCGCAAACAAATTTTACGGGAAACTCTTAAACATGTAATCAATGACAATCAATGGCTATTCTAAAAAAAGGCAATCCTTAGCTTTCGTTTTATTCATAAAATAAATACCATTAATTAATATACAACTCGTACTATTACTACTTTTACGTCTGGCATGTGACTTGTTGGCAATACTGCGAGTCCGAGACACACACACTGCGTATTTGCCCACACGCCCCACCTACACTTGCTTGTTTCTAACCTCAAACTCTTACATCAACTCATAGTCGTTTCGTGATGTCCGTTGTGAGTCGTAAATTCAATGTTTTTAGTTAAGTTCAGTGTAGTTGTTACGTTTATAAAAAATACTTGCAAAACGTTCGATATCGATATATCGGACGTTGGGTCCATTGACGCAAACCCCCCAAATACCTTTTTTGGGGAGGGGGTGAAAATTTAAATCTCGCCCGAGCGTCTATTACCCTCGGGGCGGCCCTGGATTTGTTAATTTACTAGTGTCTTCTCTTTTACAAACTAACTGCTCAGTTATTACAGATGTATTCTACATAATGTTATTCAGGAACATGCCGAAAATGTTGTAGTACAGCTTTAGACTATGTTTGATATAATGTTATTGCAGCCCTTTGTTACGACACTCTGGAATAAAATTTTTTTTCCAAACTATAAAAAATTGATACCATCAGAAGTTAGTGCCAACATGCCAAAATAATTGTATGCATGTTAAAACCACACTCTGTGTCAGCAAAATTGGTAAACTAGAACAGCGCTATGCTTAACTGTTATCCGAACTGTCTGAAGACTAAATGAAACAGATATTAATAAAAGGGAGTATGCTGTAGCATTTGTCAATACAATTGTAAAGTTTAATTGATGTACAGCTGTTGGAGGTGTTTGATTTGGTTGACTTCAAGGAGAACCGAGAGTACGTAATGAGCACTCAGAGCACTTTCTCCGGAGGATTCTCCAAGTGGGCAGACTCCTACGCAGATCCCATGCATACCTATCTTGGTAAGGGAGTTTCAGATCATCCTATAATTTATATCATTCCGTACTCACATACGTTTGAAGAAATGTTAAGTTACACATTAAAATATTGTTTTTTCCTTGCAATACAAAATGTTTTGGTTCAATGTAGGCCTATTCCTTTGCGTACATCGGTAGGTTATTTACCTCATCTGACTGACCTCTAAGAGCTTTGAGTTAGGTTTCTTTAGTTCTGTGGCAGCGAATTGTGTCGTGTGCTGACAGGACAAAGTCAGTTCCTCTTATTATGTGTGAACATTCCCACTTCTTTGTTAACTTGAATTACATCTACTTACAATTTATTGGATTATAATCATTAAGATAAAATCTATGACTTCCAACTTGAGTGTTTAAACTGATATGCAAAAATATCAGGGGGCATAAAAAACCCACTTTACAATCAAATACTAGTGGTACATTTTAATATACATTCAACATTCAACGTTGTTGTAGGTCTCAGTGGTTTGAGTTTGATGGGTGAAGAAGGACTGCAAGAAGTTCATGCTGCCCTTAATATCACTCAACGAGCCGTAGCCCATCTCAAGACAGTTCAGGACCAATGGGCTTCGTAAGGACTAGCCTAAATGCCGTCTGAGTCATCAACTAGAATGTTCTCTATTCAGGAGTATCCTGGACTTTTCATTTAGTTTGCTTCTTAAGGCTGTCAGTACACTCAAGGTGCCTTAACAATTTTACTTTTCCCTCTCTCTCTTTGTGCCCAAAATTGTACATACTTACTGGAGACGTAAAAATAAAGTCACCATTGATCCCGTTGGATCGATTGCAATCTAGTGACTGTCTATGATTTTGTGGTGGATAGTTTGAAGTTAAGTTTTCTTACAATACTGAAAAAATAATTACTCCTGTACCTTGATAGATTCATTATATTATTTGCTTTCAGCTATGTTGTAAACTTTTTGAGCAAGAGATTTTATTCAAGTTGAACAGGTCTAAGCAAAGGCGTCACATGAGTGATGGGAGGGGGGTCACAGGGGGGCGTTCTTTCTACCTCACCAACAGTAAATTCCCCCCAAAAATATTTCTCTACTCTCTTAAGTTATTTATACCAAGTTATATTAGGGTATTTACACCCCTCAGCCACCTGGTAGGGGGGTGTTCTGGTTGTGCCCGTCAAATCTATGGGTCACGTGACGCCTCTGTCTAAGATATTTATCTGAAAGCATAAAAATATTTCAAATAACACTTATAATAATTTATTATAGCCTACTTATACTGTTTACTCACAAGATGGTAAATAGATATAAAAGATGGTAAGTGGTGGTCAATTTCGATTGGACACACCAATCATCATCAGACCCAATAGGCGAATGATCCAATTAGGCGACCCAATAGATTCCCCTATTGATGATTGGAGTGTCCAATCAAAATCGATCACCACTTACCGTCTTTTATATGTATGTCTTGTGAGTAAACAGTACAAGTGTAAATGTATTATTAAAAGTGTTATTTGGCGTATTTTTCTGCTTTCTGGTAATTTAATAACACGTACGATGCTGATCAAGAAGTTATTCAAGATATATATGTCTGGTTTAGGACCTAAACCCTTTACATTTTGTACTAGTGTAGGCCTAGTGTCAAAACTCAAAACCGAATTTCAAAACCACTGAAACATTGGAAAAGTTTCCATTTTGCGATTCTATCTACAAGTTTTGAGTTTCAAAACCGAAACTGCTAAAATATTTTGGCGTCGTTATTATGGTTATTTTTAACAGAAAATACAAGGCGAACTGCCAAGGTCACAAGCCTTCCGTTAACAGTCGTTTATATTCTCTAGTTACGTTCAATTACGTATCAAATATGTTATTATGAACTGTATTTTTTGTAAAATTAACCAGGCAAGTAAACAATTTGTGAGTTAAGGTTTTCAGATTCGGTATTTAACTTTTTAAGTTTGGGTTTTGAGATTCAATAGTTTTAAAATGGGCTAAGCTATCCTTGATAATTGAGCTGGATAAAGATAAGCTGATCTTGATCGGTATAAAAGTTATCCTATCATTAATTCTAAATTCATCCTCTATTAATATAGAAATATGTACCTGAGTCATGTATTTCATCATTCGGCACAGTAATTCAGTAAAGATAGAAAATCTGAAAAAGTAAGATATTTTGGACATTTGGGTCACTAATTAATACTTTGTATAACCAGTAACTACTGAGATATCTTTTCTGCAGTTGCCATAAACTGGTCAGTAATGATGCCATTTAGTCCCTCTGGGTTTGTGTATAGTACTGTAGGCATATTTGTATTTTTTTTCTTATAATGCTGTGCTATTGGTAAAGGTTGTTTTCCAATCTGTAAAAAGCACAAAAGTAGGCTAACATTATTATAGTAAAAAATTGTTAATTATAGAAGTTGAATAGATATATACTCTTATTAATCAATAAATCATTAAATAAAATAGGATCAATAAAACATAAGAGATGATCAAAAGTATGCTATTGTGAAATGTTTAATTTTTAGGGTAATAGGCTAATTTTGTATGATATTTATATTTATTTTCTGTATATGCAATTATTATTATTTATTTGTGTATATTTTATATTGATCATAACCGTTCTTTAGGCTTAAAATTTGATTTTGCCTGTTTATCATGTATGTATTGCTTTTAATAATATTTTAGCTCTAACTTCTAAAGAAATTCCCCTTTTTCGAGTACTTTAAGTAGGCTAATTAAATTATACAACCAGCCTAGTGCTTTATTTTGATGGATTATTTAAATATATAATACCCCTGCCACAGCTAACCTGCAGACTAAGCGAATTTCCATTTGCCTGATAGGTTTTTCACATAAATCTATTTAAATAACAGGTTTGCTGCTACAGGGAGGTTAATGAAATGTGTTTTTAGTAAAATATTAATAGTATAAGATAAACAAATATGCCAAGTTTCATGAAACTATGTTTATAAACAAGCAAAATATTATAGTTTACTTAACTTCCATAAGAATAAGATGGGAATTTTAAATTAAAAGTTTGTTTAGTTATCTCCGTAGTCAATAACTGTGCAAAAAAAAACTTCAATATACTTAATTATTAGTTTTATAAGCTCTTCATAATGGTTTGGAAAGAAATATAAAAATTTAATGTTTTAAGGGTCTAAAATGGGAAAACCCAATTTTTGCCCCATAAACCTCTGTTCCCATAATCCGATCATGCTGGTTCACGAACTCGTTCGAATAAACGTAGGTTTACAAGCTTGTACCGAATTTAATCAAAATCGATAATTTTTGCTTGAGTTATCGTGCTAACGGACACACACACACACATACATAATACTAGCAGAGTACCCGTCCTTTGTACGTAGTTGGCATATAAGTATAAAATGCTTATTGCAGTTATACTCGTCCTTTACGTTTGCAATGAGAGAGGACACGGCTTAAGAAAATTTGGTTCTTTTAATTTACGGTATGCTATAGTATAGCACATCTACCATAGCCATAATATTCTACCACTGCCCCTAAACAATAAAAAAGTGAAATGTGAGCTAACAAAATTCAACCCAATCCGACCAGTATTTTTTGCGTTTACTTGTCACAAACATCCATACATCCAAACTTTCTCACTTATAATATTAGTAGGATGAATTTGAACGGATGGTGTTTTTGGCTTCTGGGTACATCAAAACAAAAAAGAAAATCAGCTCCGGGTCCAGGTCTTACCATGAGACCTACGTTTAAAGCTATTTCTCTATATGGGAAATTCGATAAAAACACTGTAAAATAAAATGCCCCCACCGCAGCAAACCTGCAGATCAAGAAAGTTTTCATTTTCCTGATTTGATTTTCAATTACAGTAGAACCCTCCGTATCCGACGATGACGGGACCAGGCCATGGTCGGATATCAGGAGGAGCATAACCTGCAGTCTCCGTGACATTAGTAATTGTCTCCGGCGACCTTGAAACCACAAGTGAGCATATTAAAGTCTCCACGACTTCGGAAATCGTCTCCCGGGACTGCTGAAAAACCCGTCATTGGCGACAGTGATGATTGTCCGCCGTGATTACGGCAACATCTGCGATTGGTGTTAGCGCCCCAGACAGGAAACAAGTAGACACAGGTTTCAAGTAGGATATCTTGAGGAGTCGGTTATTCCAAGGTTGGATATGAGGGGTTCTACTGTAAATCTATATCAATAACTTTTGGTATAACAAGTACCTAGGTTTGTTGCTACAAGGAGGGTAATAAAGTGTGAGGAGGGTAATACATTTTTTCCCCGTAACCATTAAACATACAAAAACACTTCAATATACTAAATTATTAGTTTTCATCAGTTCAAAATGGTTTAGAGAGAAATTAGGAAATTTATGTTTTGAGGGTCAAAAAGGAGAATACCCCTGCCACAGCAAAGCTGCAGGGCCAGATTTGATTTTCAATTAATCTATTTCCCCCATTAGGTTTAACAAGTACCTAGAGGGTAATGTAGTTTGTTTTTTTAGTTAAATATTAAAAGCTTAGTATAAAATAATAGATTTACCAAATGTGATAAAAATATATCCATACTTACTTATTCTCCGTAACCAATAACTGTTAAAAAACACATCAATATACTAAATTAATTTTTCTTTCAACTCTTCAAATTGGTCTAGAGAGCAATTGGGAAAGTTAATTTATCAGGGTCAAAAACGAGAAAAAAACAATTTTTACCTCATAAATTCACCCATAAAACCCTGTTCCCTAGATCCTATCACGCTGGTTTGCGAACTCATTTGAATTTTTACATGTTCGTACCAAATTTTATGGAAATGAGATCATTTAAGGTTGAATTATCGTGCTAACGGACGCACACACACACACTATATAGCTTATACCCTACCCCATATGGGAAAATTGCTAAAAACTTATTTTTACCCTATAAATCCCCGATTTAACCCTGTTCCCATGGTTCGATCACGATGGTTTGCAAAATTGTTTGAATAAACCTAAGTTTACATGTTTGTACCAAATTTTATCGAAATCGGATCATTTTAGTTTGAATTATCGTGCCAACAGACGCAGACACACATAATATCAAAATTCAAAATCGAAACGGATGGTGTTCTTGGCCTCTGGGGACTTAAAAACGAAAAAGTAAATCAGTCTCGGGTCCAGGTTTTACCTTGTGACCTATGGTAATAGCATGGATAACACATAGTTCCTTAGTAGATTTCCCATCCTTATGGAACAGCTGAATGCAATTTTATTGTTGGTTCTGTCCGGTTTTCTGTAGATGTTGTGTTTTGTTTACAATTTGTTTCTATTATTTTCGGGTTAGTTTCTCATTATTTGTGTCTCACTGTTTGGTTATATAGTTAGTGGACGAGTTATTATTTATGATCAGATAGTTTTATTTGGTTAAGGTAACACAATAGTCCCTATCACGTCCATGTTAATTTCACCATTTTTAGGTACACCTAACTTCTTTAAAAATTATCCTAGCAACCTGAAATTTTTATACATTGTCTTACGCACCTTTCTCAACGATAATAGGAACCACTTTTGTTCTAAAGTTAAAAATAATTTTTTATGCATTTTTTTTAAACATAAATATTTTATCACGTTTTTTAATTAAAAAATAATTAAAACTCGGGTTGTATCAAATATTTTGTAATTTCACTTCCTATTATTATTTGTTAATATACACAGAAGGTCTGTAAAAAATTTCATTAAAATCGGTTCATAAATGTGTCAAAAAAATGTACCGGACGAAGAAAAAAGTAAATTTTCGGTAAATCGCATATAAAGCCTTAGTCGCTGTCATGCGATCACTGAAACAGCTGTGCAAGATTTATAATAAATGACAAAAAATCTATCAAATAAATTTTATTATATAACATATTTGGTATCTATGGATTCAGGATTAAATTTATAACTAGAATTAATTATAAAAAAAAAATATATTTATTTTTTATTTTTGCATATAAATCCTTAGCCGCTGTCATGCGATCACTGAAACAGCTGTGCAAGATTTATAATAAATGACAAAAAATCTAGGTATCAAATAAATTTTATTATATAACATATTTGGTTTCTATGGATTCAGGATAAAATTTTAAACTAGAATTAATTATAAAAAAAAAAAAAATTTTTTAAATTTTTGACTACTGTGTTACCTTAAACGAGATTTTAAGTTACTTTTATAACAAGAAACAAATTTTAAACAAAACACGACATCTACAGAAAACCGGACAGAACTAACAATAAAATTGGCTTCAGTTGATCCATAAGGATGGGAAATCTACTAAGGGACTGTGTTTTATCTATGGTAATAGCTTATTCCCCTATATGGGAAATTCGCTAAAAATAGTTATTTTGTGCACTGACTTGCAGATGCACAGAGGACAATTAAATCAATTATTCACCGCACAAACAAAATAAATGTGTTAATTTCCCTTCTGTTATACCTCAGTTGACATAATTGTATTTTTGTATGGAAACATCTGTATAATATTATATTTTATTATTAAATTAAATGTCTAAGTTAGGTTATGTGAGCTCTCAACATCTGGTACTTGTAGGAAATATTCGGATAAACACTCAGGTCATGTGTAGAGTAAAGTTCTATCCAGACTAAATAAATTTGAAAATAATTTTAACACAGATAATAAACCTTGTTTTAAATAAATTTTAAGCTTATAAATATTTTAGTGGTTACTAAATAAAACTTGTCAATTTCCAAGAAAAGAGTTTATCTATTTAATGTTGCAACAAATGTGTATTGTATTTATTATATCATAATATTAAGCTTTTTTAAAATATTTTGTATCATTAAAAACTAGCAAAGTATTTAAATGGTTTTAATATAATTTAAATTATTTACATAGTTAAGTGTTAATGTGATATTGTTTTTCTAGTGGTGTAACATAGTTGTTATAATTTATTAATGCTCAAAATAAATTTTGATTATGTGTATTTTTTGTTTGATTTAAAACTGTATTATCTTAAAAACCCAATATTTTCTATTTTTGTTTAGAGTAATCTTTTAAAGTCAGTTAAATTTTTTCAAAACCTTCATAAGTAAGAAAGTTTTTGTAATGGGCTTTTTGTTCAAACTCTGCTTTAACAAATCAATGTCACTGATGTCATACAAATTTAAAACGTTTCAAATGTTTCCACTGTAGCATTGCTTAACAACAGTTATTTTCAAGTAATTAGCAAACAGTTGTAGGCCTATTTTAACTTGAGTGGGGCCGAGTGCCGTTAGCCTAAACACTTTGACAAGGGTCAATTTACAGCCTGAGGCATGGTCGGGGCGAATACCAGCCAGGTACCAGTGACCGGTTCCACACTAACCAAACCTGCTGATAATACAAAAATTGAATTAAGGTTTACTAATTGAATCGATATCAATTTTCAATCGATATTAGGGTAGCCCAGTTAAGAAACTATACCCGGTCTCTGTTACATTCTGTTACACCCCCTTCCACTAATTCCTCTCCCCTGGATCACTCTTACGCTCTGGTGGAGGCAAACAGCACTCAGACCTATCTGACGGATTTGGTTTACAACCCTCACGGCAAAAAATAGAATGGCACTCACTCCATTTCCCTTTTAACTTTGATGTGCGAGGCCTATAGTTTACACAAAATTTGCCTTGCATTTTGTCAACTTTACCTCAATAAATAAATTTCAGGATACAACCCACTGCGTCGTTTCAGCAACATGTATTGGTTGTACTACTGCGATTTGTAGTGCTAGCCCAATTAACACAGTACCGGTAGTTAATTATCAGGGCAGAATTTCAATATGTGTACTAATCAAAAAAATAAATTAAAAAAGACAATGGAAATAGAAAACTGTTTATTAAAATATGGTGAAAAACACACATACAAGATCAACAACTTTACCAACTAAACAATAACAACTTATCATAAAATACTAGTGATTTTATGGACTAGAATAAATCTTATCATATAACCAAGGTTTTGTTTGAAATGTGAGACTAAAGTTCTTATATTCTATTTCAGTTAATATTCTAAAGGGTGAATATTTAAAAGCTAAGTTTTCCACAAGAATCAATTTAAAACAAGACAAATCTGATCCATAAAAAAAGAAAAAATACAAAATCATAGGTAATTGAGGAATAAATTTCAACCTACAATGTAGGAGTGTTGCTACTGTTGAGCCTAGTATTTAGGGATTCAGTACAATAGTGATTGATTCAATCCCTGTACAATAGTGATTGATTCAATCCCAGTATAATCTAAAGCTTGAGGCATTTCGATTACTTTCTCAAGTGTAAAAAAACTCTTAATCATATAAAATGCTACTGGTGGAAGCAAAAAAAAAAAACAGTCTAGAAATGTAACATAAAAACAGTCTAAATGTAACTAATTTTATGTCTAAGTATGTTTTAAAATCCGACCTATGTCTGGTTGCATTTAATCATTAAAATAAAAGTTAATACTTTTTTACAAGATAACTAAACCGAGTAACATCATAATTTCTCACTGCTGACTGACAACTAGTGGGTCAGTGAAAAGATGGTCTAAACCTCAAGTCAATATAAGCTTACTGGCTGAGCGATATTCACAATTGATAAGACTGTCATTATATGTAATCATATTTTCAGCAAGGAAAAATATGTCTTATCAATAACGTCATTTTATTCCCGAACAATACCATTGGAACTGTGATCAGTGAGCAAAAGAAGTTTCCATTTCAGTGTGTAAAAAGGAGACCCTCATTTCAAAACGTGAAAAATAATATATTTACACTTATATTGTTCCAAGAAGACAGTAAATGTTTTTGGTAGTGGTGATCGATTTTGATTGGACACTTCAACCATCATCCAGAATTCACCTATTAGGTCTGATAATGATGGGAATCAAAATCGACCATACCTGCCATCTTTCATATATATTTACCAAAATAGTATAGTAAATGTTTCAAGGCTTTTCTTACAAACCACACAGGACTTCAACTTTTACAACATTGAATAATCTTGTTATTCATAAGTGACTCAGTAAATAAATATTCTCACTAAGAAAACCATATTAAACAACCAGCTTGAAATTTTTCAACAATGATAACTCAAGATTATTGCTACTACAAGATCAAATATGGTGAGTTTAGTTTTTTAGTTCAGTTCTCTAAACATGTGTTTAAAGAATTTTTTTGCTATTCAATTTTGATTACACATGATGAGTCAATTTGAGGAAGTTAATATCATACCCAAGACGTCTTTTCAGTCAATTAAATAAGTCTGAAAATTTTAAATACTATGAATTATTAAGGTAATATGATAAATGGTACGTCATAACTGCTAAGCTTATTTTGTTATTTCTAAAGAAGAAAAAATGGCAAATCTCACTGGCACTTATTTGACTTTTTTTGGTTGACGCTTCACGCCAATTTTCTTCACTCTTGCTCTGTACATGTGTGTCATCATTGCATACATCCCTGAGAAAAACACAAATAATTAACAGAATTAATAATTGGTATTATTTTATTTCGTTAAGTGTTCAAACAAAGGCAATACTGCTTAACTCCATTGAGATAAATCTCTCTTTGTATCTTAACTTTACATCAGTGAAGTATTATCTTATTTTTTAACTATGGGAACTCTAGGTTTAAAAACTTCAACATTCTTTATCTTATTGAAATCTTGAATGTATACTGAATTATTTTGTATTGTTTTTAAAGAGACATAAATTTTTTTCTAACAAATCAATTCAATTCTTGAAGAGATAGTTAATTAATCTCATTCAGTTTGATCCGGTAATTTTTACATACAAATTTGTTATGTTTGATAAAGTGTTGTAGGCTACTATTACTTGTATGTCTTATAGCTTATAGTCATAGTCACAGTCATAGTCACATCTTAGAAGCTGGTTTAGGAATAGTTTTAAGTAAATTGTTAAACTACAATAATTATAGAGGTTTTTAGACAGAGAAGGGTTACCATTAACTATTCAAATAAAGTTTCCATAATACGGTCTAAAAATATACATGGTTTTACAATGAGCCAAATTTGTTGAAAAGCATAGCCTAGGGTTAAAAATGTATTAAAAATTCAATAAATTACCTGGAAAAAAGAGTATAAGTAGGTAGATTTTCATAGCTGTCGGAGAATGGAAAGTGAAATTCCAACTGTTGGGCATTGCGATAGAAAATCTTTGAGTTTCTTCAAAATAGGGAATATTCCTAGAAAAAATGAATAATTGCTGTAAGTAAACACATTTATGCACAACCCTAGAGCATCATTAAATTTGTGTATATATATATTTAAGAAGCAAAGTAAATTTTTTTCCATAGGATTCATAGCATCAATGTTTGTTCATATTGGCAATAGGTGGACAGGACTTAAAATGACAATAACTACTTGATATGTCAATACAAAATACTTATGGGGGAAATAATTTACCTCAGAATGATGATTCCTTCACACAGGATTCCCAATGGATAGAGTGGGATCCAAACTGAATACCGAAGCCACGTAAGAAAGTCCACTCGACATTTGTACAGCTGGACTATGTAGTACGGGTATCTGAAAAAAACCAAAATTTATAAAATTCGGTAAAACTAATTGTTTTTATGTTTTATCTTCTTTGCTAACATGACGAAAATAATATAGCTTTATTCTTCATGACGTAACAAACATAAATAATATTATGATACTTTGTTTGAATTATGTTAAGTTTTGTTAATATCAATATTCCAAAAGGGATAAAAAGTTAATTAGTTTCAAATATACAAAGAACTCTGAGAAAAGAGTATACCGGTACTTTAACTTTTAGTATTCCTTAAGTATTTACATTTAGTTTTACACAAGAAACTGTAACAATAATGAACTAAAAATGCTATCCTTACCTGACCACTTCAACAAGCGACCATATAAAGAACAGGTAGAACACAACAGGTTTCTTATGCATTCTTGGTTCTGCGTCAATCATCGCAAACAAAACCACCGCTCTTGCTGTCACCTGCGCAAATAAACCCATGAAAGAAGTTAAAACTGAATTCGCTCCTCAATAACTCAATGCCAATATATTCATATTTTTAGGTTGAGAGCCTAAAATAGTGTATCACTTTCTTTACTAGTACCGAAAATAGCATTTTCAGTCGCAAGCTCAAGTTTCATGTGTGAGGCAAAGCCGAATACAAGAAAAAAAGTTCAGGTGCAAGCCGAAGCCGAGCATGTGAGGGTTATTTTCATGTACAAGGGGAAGCCGAGGATGGGAATAGTTGAAGCAAATGCTGGAAAATCACTTTCGGTACAAGTTATAAATGATACTTTTCATTGTGACTCAGAAATAGGTACTGACATCCTCGACACGTACAGAGTAACAGACTTTAGTACAATTAAAACTAACTTTTATATTTCCTAACTAACTTTATTTTATTATAAAAATAAAAGCAAATAGGTTACCGGTATATCATTCAAGTATAGAAATACATTGTTTTGTTATCGTGATGGCATTAAAACAAAACTCTTCTAGAATAGTCGTCTAAGAGAATTTCATAACAGGAAAATCAATGTTAAATACAAGGGCTGCCAATAATAAATACACCAACAAACCAGGGTGCATTTGGCGTATTATAAGCTGTAAGAGTCCAATGTCTGCCTACGTAACAAAAGCTTAAAATTAATTAGAAAAGTTGTTCATAAGCTGTTTCAGATGATATTAGCAGCCATACAGTTTTTAACATAAGTTTAACGAACAAAGAGGACAAGCCAATTTATACGTAGGCCTACTCTTGAACAACATTTCCAGGTGAATTTTGTCTTGTTTTCAGGGGTTTGAATTATTTGTTTTGTGCGAGGGTGTAAGTTACTGTTCTGTGCTGATAACAAAATAACAATCATACAGACTTCACAACTATGGCAAAGATTTTGTTATGGTGGCATATCGGTTTTATGCCTGTGTGGGCTATCTCAATGATCTGGATACTTATTTAATTGTTACTGTATTAGAGTATAGTAAGTATAATAATTGTAATACGTATAACAATTATGGGAAAGTGAAAAGTAGGTACAAGTTTTGGGAAATGGTTGTTTAATTGGGAACATTCACTTTACCTGTATGAAAGGTATCATAATGCTGCCCCTAGTGTATCCAAACATTGGATGCATCACTTCAAGGAATTGAATCAGCTGGCAAAACTTGAGCACATTCCCAACTGCATCAAATGTACCTTCCATGGAATCTGTAAAATGTACAGGGGTTTCACTTATACAAATGCTGGATTTTTTGTGAGTAAAACTGGAGTTAAAAAATAAGAAACTATTCACACTGGTACCCTACTATACTTCGTTCACAATATTTAGGTGGTTTTAGGGTAAGAAATCTATCACTCCCACTCTATCCTTACCTTTAATAGCTCAACAGCTGATTAAGCAACATACATTAAGTATGTAAAAAAAGGCGGGGTAACTTCCCCTCAAATAATCACCTAAATTCTTTGTTTCAAGTTTATTGTTGGTGATGGTGAGTTAATATTGTTCAAAGGTTTATTGGGGACATTTTCCATCACGATTGTAAAAAACAATACACAACGTTTCGGGATCTGGAATCTGATCCCGTCCTCAGGTGAAAAAAACTTAACTAACACATTACAACTAACAATACACAAACACCCAACCTAAGTTGGAATACAGAGGGTAACAGTCAAAAAATATGCACTGTATAGCAGTCAAGTCATGATACAACATGCAAATAATAACCAATCTCAAAACACTATAATCTATAAAAAGTGTAACGTAAAAAGCTCACACAATGGAACACTAATAGCCCCAGTCGGAATGACTCCACCAATGCGACTGAAGATTCCTGATTCCCTTGAACAGCTTTTTTGACTGCTACCCTCTGTAGTGTATTCCAACTTAGGTTGGGCGTTTGTGTATTGTTGGTTGTAATGTGTTAGTTAAGTTTTATTTCACCTGAGGACGGGATCAGATTCCAGATCCCGAGACTTTGTGTATTGTTTTTTACAATCGTGATGGAAAATGTCCGCAATAAACCTTTGAAAAACATTAACTCACCATCACCAACAATGAACTTCAAACAAAGTACTGAATGTTCTATAAAAACAACAGTTATTGCAAAATGTCGCTGATATCAAACGGACATCGTTGGCCAGCAGGCGATTATTATGTGTTTTATTGTTGTTTCTGTTATTTTACGAGTGATAAAAAATTCCACTACTAAATTTAAACTAGTTACTGTTACAACGTGAGTTATATTTACCTGATAAAAAATTCAGAATTGAAAGGCCTAATGTTGTTCAGATGTTTTTTTAGTGTGCCCCTTAAATGTGAATAATGCAAATCCTTCAGTGAAAGTTTTATTAAGGTTTCTTGGATGTAGTCATATTATTTTAAAATCACTTGACTTTTATGAAAACATATATTTAATGTCCTTGCCGTACAGTTTAATTCAGCCTTAGAGTGTTTTCCTTTGCCAATCATCATCAAGTTAAGTCCACCCTGTCAATTCATTTTTCTTTTTTGGTAAAATATATCAAATTGCCCAGGCTCTCTCGATTTTTTACATTGTAATATGTACGAATGTAAATTAAAGTAATACAAATATTTCATTTTAACAAAATCAGTAAATGTACCTACCCAATGCGTTTTGTTGAATTGAAAAATAAATAACAGAAATTAAATTATACAGCTGATCAAAATGTAAACAATTTTGTTCTTCATAAGGATAACATGGGAACTTTCAAAGCCACTGGGGCAGAGCCCAAGGAAATTTTTCAAAAATGTAAGGCCAGTTTGCAAATCTACGCGACACACTCTTTCCAAGGAGACGTCAATGGATAAAATCGGTTAAGAAATGGCGGAGGAGTTCAACCGACAAAGTTTCATGCAGCGTATTAATTATATAGATTCCCTTGGAAAGAGCAACTGATATCTGCCAATCACTCACAACGTCTGCAGTTCAAACATGACTCTGTCAAACGTGCTAATAGGCCTACAGCTTAAATAAAGCCGTATTCAAATACGCTTTTAGACCATTCTACAGGTTATGAAAGTTTCAGGCCATCAGATGCTGGATTAATAAAATGTTACTGTAAAAGAAGACAATTATAAACTGTATTAAAAGACTAAAATAGTGTAATTACCTGGGCCGTCTTTAGCGTATCGGATCGCCATGACAATGATGATATAGGTGAAGAACACAAACTGGCTTAGATTGTACAGTATCAAGTAGACTTTCTTTAATTCTTCTGCAACATAAAAGGTTCATAATTATTAGAAATAAAATATTTTCGTCAACTGAACTTAAAACTGAGAGTAAACCTTTACTGTTACTACACTTGATGCCGTGGATATTAATACCAAATAAATATCTTAAAATTTCAATTTAATGCCATAATGTTGTGTTTTATTGCTGGCTAGATTGCAGCCTACTTTCAAAATAAGGTTTAATAACACCTGAATGATAAAATAAAATATCAACAAAACTTGAATATGGATATAACTAAAGAATTCTCAAAAGATTTACTTTTTTAGGGTATTTCTTATACTATACCTTTCTTGTATCCAAATTCATCCTTCTTGAGCTTTTCAAAGAGATCAGGATAGTCACCCAGCACATCTTTAGCTGTTCCGTTTTTAAATTCGTTTTCTGGATAATCTTCTTCATCATCTTCACTCTTCCATCGCTCAAAATCAATCTATTGGCAATTTTAGAAATATCATTACATAGTTAAATTGGTTAAAATTATTGACAAAGCAATGTTTATTAAGCTACTATTGCATAGAACAAAATTGTTTCTTCTACACTCTGAAAGTTTACAAATCTGGTAGGCACTAAGCAAAAGAAATTCTTAACAACCAGCGCACTTAATTTTTGTTGTTGTTTTAACTTCAATCCTGATTTTTCAAGGATGGTATGAGAATTTTTAACATCTTTGCAGTATTTATTTCCCATGAAATGCACTAAGTACATAGTGCATAAGCTAGCTTTCTTAAACATACTAGGGTATTTTTAGCAACATGATAGATAATTCATCCTATGGCTCCTTTTTTAACTCTTAATGTAGTCCAAGAGAGCGAGCTAGTCTAGTGGTCTAGTAGAGCCTGAGGCTTCAAAGCCAGAGGTCCATGGGCGCCCACAGGGGAGTGCAAGTGCACCCCCCTGGCAAAAAATTAGAAATCAATTTAAAACACATAATGTTCTGTAATCTAATTGGTTTTTAAGGAATTTTTAAAAGTACGTTCATAAAGGTCAAATAAGTAGTTGACTCACAGATTTGCTATTCTTTTACTTTAACAAAACTATTCAGAAAACAAAACATTTATCTAGGCTTTATTCAACTGCAATTTGATTTTTCTTTATAATTGTTTTGCTTGTGGATTTGACCATATAAATTCAATAAGTCTAAGAAGTCTAATAACTTCAAATAGCTTGTTAATTTAATGTTGGCATTTAAATGATGACTTGATGCACAATCTACTACTTTGTTTTGGTTGGTTCTAAGAGTTACAAAATAATGTAAAAATATGTTTTAAAACACTATATTTTCAGAAATTTTCTCGGGGAAGACTCCGGACCCCCGAATGTTTGTTAGACCTATATATTGCACCCCTCTGTTCCAAATCCTGCGGGCACCCACGCAGAGGTCCCAGGTTCAAATCCCGCTAATCACCAATAGATTTTATCTATGTGTTAACGCCACAACCCTCTAGGACTAGCCTGAAGTAATGTGTCAAACTCAAACAGTTCTGGGCTAGAACCTAGCGTCCTGGATGTGAATGTGGGACATAAAAAATGTAGTTTAACCAATGCAATTTTTTGTGCCGACAATAAACAGTTTTAGCTCAATTTGATACCGAACCACATAATGGGTTTTGGATAGTTATAAGGTGTTAAGCTGATTGATGACTAGACATACTTTAAGCCAAGGAGGTTTCTGTGTGGAGTGCAGCAGCCTGGGCCACCATTGACAGTCCTGTTTGGTCAGAGAGAGTTGCACTCCACTGTCCGTAACCTTGACATGCCTCGTGTCATCCTCCTACATTAACAAACAATCAGAGCATCTGCATAACACCAGCAAATAGCACCCATTATACTGGAGAATATAAGTAGGCTACAAACAATTCTAACACTAATAACACCAAGTGCTTTAAGTGTGAGGCAAGTAAATTTGATTATAGTTGCTGAAAAATAAAACATTTCTTTGACATACCGTACTTGTTTAGTCTGTGGGCCTAACTTATATAAAGGGTGAACAACTTAACTGTGCCACCATTGGTATCTCAGAAACAATTAGGTAGATTTTGAGAAAACATAAAATGGGGAACTTTAATTATCCTTTTATGACATTCAAAAATTTCAATTTTACTTTTTCAAAAATGGCCACCAATAATGGCGATTATCTTTGGAACTTCTTACAAAGTGCCATGTATTTTATGAGGTTTTTAGAATTTAGATGCATTTTTGAGACTGATTAATTCTTTGCATTTCCTCTCTAAAACTTACTCGTTTAGGAGCTACAGGATGCAGAATGTACATAAAAAGCTGCATTTCCTAAATGTAACATGCTCTAGCTTCTAAATTAGTTGCTTTAGCAAAAAAATGTAAATGGAAAAAAGTTTTAAAATTATATCAACATTCTAAATCACTCTAAAATATAAGGGTCCCAATCAGAAATCTTAGTCATCCACAATTTTCCAAAATGGCGGACATTTTTCCAAAAGTGAAATTTATATTTTTGAATGTCATAAAAAAATAATTGAAGTTACCCATTTAATGTTTTATCAAAATCTTAATACAGTAGACCCCCTCTCAACCGACCCTAATGGGGCCGGACCTAGGTCGGATAACTCAAAAGATTGGTTAAAACGGTCAATCAGTTAAAAAACACTGTATTATTTTACGATCGAAGGCAGATAATCCATTATCGGTTAATACGAGGTCGGTTAAGAGGGGGTCACTGATATACCAATGGTGGCACAGTTAAGTTTTTCACCCTGTATAAACAATATCACTTCAATAATAGCCTATATTAACACTTTTACTGCACTCACTTGACAGTGAAATCTAGGTCTTAAGTAAATGCAGTATCAACAAAATCCTTGGAAAAACTGTGGTTCTTTACTAACTTTTCAGTGAACTTATTTATAGTTCATTTTAACGAGCATTATTTATGCTTTTATCGGCTAATAACAAAGATTTTTAAAATTTGAAAGCCATCAGATGGTTTGTAAAAGTGAAGCTATGTTTTTGTATTTTCACACAATTTATGAATTAAAATATGAAATGTAGTCAAGAGGTATGGACCAAATAAATAATTTAAAGCAACTGATTAGTATTATTATTCAATGGTATATTACCTAGTTTGAGGAATCAACAAACAAAGTTATAGTTTTAGTAGTTATAGTAGTACTGACCTCCATTCTCTGTATGGCATCGTACAGCCGCAACCTAACTGCATACTGTGCAGCACCATGGGCTCCCACCCCGAACGCATCAAGCTCAACCGAATCATCTGTCAGTCTTAGACTTTTATCCTGTGAGGAAAATAAACATTTAGACTTATGGTACTGACAATTGTCGAATCACCTAGAAATGTATCAAGGCTTTCAAACTTTTTTAGAAATTTCGTACAGCACTAGAAAAATGATTACCGGTAGGCCTAATGATAAAGAAAAAAAACAACGAAGTAAGACCACTGAATTGAACATAAACTAATACTCCATTATTAGTATAGTATTATTTATGGGCAGTTGAGTGTAGGATATCGCCTGGCGGTTGCAAAAATCCACTGGTGTTAGAACTTAAAATAAATCAAATTAAAAAATACAAGTTTATTAGTCATTAAGCGTCTTTGACCTCTTATGTGTATCATGCATGTATTTGAAACAAAACAATTATTAGGTTTATTAAAATAAGCCTACATATAATTAATGTACAATACTACAAAGCTGGAAGATTGCGAAAGTTATCAGCAAAGGGTGTTGATAACGTAGCCTTGTTCATTAGTATGATAGCATGGATACTGATTTTCAGTTGGCCTATTGTGATGAGTAATATAATAAGATTTATTTCAGAAGCCTACATAACTTATAAACTATTTTCTCGAAAATAAAATATTTTGGCCTAGGCCTATTGTAAAACAAAAACTGAGTTGGAAAATATTTGTAAAAACCGCAACTTACCTTAGTCCATGCAATGTCTTTCAGATCAATCTTGATGAACACCGAAGATTCATCTTGAGCCCAGTAAATAAATGGGCTAAGAAGTTCGGAGCGCATTTATGAATGAGCTGAAACAAAAAATAAAAATGTAAACCTCAGTCTCTAAAATAATTACATAACTGTACGCCTACCAACTAAGTAATTTGGATGAAATCCAAAAATAGTGACTAAAAAACCAGTCACTTAAAGTTTTGTGTCTAAGCTACTGGAAGTCGGCACTGTCAATGGACAAAATCGGGACAGCTGGTGGCAACCCTGGCTCTGTTGTACAGAGATGTATAACCACCAGAACTAATAATCGAGATGGGATTTGTCCTATTGAACCTAAAGGCTGTCTCTGACAAGCTAAAAACACTTTAGTAACTTAATCTATAGTGCACTGAAACATTCACTTGACCTCAAAGCCAACCAATATAATAACACTAGAGTAAATAAAACACACCTGCTGCTCACACCACTCTCGTTTCGGAGGGTAGGTAAAGTTTCTACTTGTCTGAGAAAGTGCACCATGACAGATGCACTCTCCACGCATAATTTAAACTTAGCTTAAGCCTACATCTAAGGATCGTAAACAAATGATATTTTATCATTGGGATTAGGATGGTTCAGGAGTTATAACTTAATAATCAATCAATTTATTGAATCTTCTTGTAAGAAAAATCTAGAATAGGTTAGCCAATTTTAACCTTTAGGCTAAATACTTAGCACACCACCTATTCTGGGGTCGGACTGTTACTTTTTAGGACTGAATAAAAAAGAATAGGCCTAGGTCCATGCTATAAAACTGTACAGTTAAAAATCGGGTAGCCTACAGTTTCTTAACTGGGCTATGCTAATATTGATTGAAACTATCGATTCGATTGGTAAACCTTCATGCGATTTTTTCACCATCAGCAAGTTTGGTTGGTTAGGTTATGATAGTTTTATTATATAATAGATATATTTAAAAATATCGATTATTAATCAATATTTTCATTTCGATAGTTTCAATCAATATTAGCATAGCCCAGTTAAGAAACTGTACCCTAAAAATCTCTCTCCCTTTTCAATACAGAAACATACTAAAGTATGATCAAGCACAGCAATAACTGTTATGATTTTCTTGGTTGCTAAGGATCTGAATCCCTCCTAGGTTTACGTACCTACCTATATAACATCAAACTTACTTAAGAAGTCTTGATTGAAAAGTTGAGCACAATATCTACAGTAAAACAAAAATTAGTAACACTCAAACATTGGCTAATTGCATAATAACACCAAACAACAAATGTTTTTCTTAATAATTTGATTTTGTAGTTTAGGTTGGTTGAGTGAGATAGAGATTTCCAGATTTCTCAAAAAAGAAGAAGACAGAATAGCAGCCGACTGCCGACAAATGCCGACTGCAGCTGCAGCTCAGCTGCAGGCTGCAGGCAGGGAGGCTTGTGCAAGAGCAGTGTTTCAATTTAAGAGAAAATAAAATCACTCTCGTTGAGCTAGGCTCCGTTGATCATATACGTAACAATAATCATAAGTCAAACGGTACCGCGTTTAGCCATTAGGTGACTAGATACATTTACCTGCAATGAAAATAAAGCCAAATTAAACAAAAAAGAGTTATATGTTTGATCAAAACAATCAAAGAAAAACAACATGGTGTTGCCTCCGGTAAAATCCCAACCACTAGACCAATTAGCTCCTTAGTGAAGTAAACTTACTTATATATCTACGTCAGTTAAAATAATGTATTCTGCCCGAGGACAGGAAGAGAGTGCGGCCAAAACGAAGTCACTACATATGGAGACTCATGACCATAGTGTTGTCACCCTGGACCTGTGACAATTCCCCATCTGACTAAGAAAAAATCCTATTTTATCCCCAACTAAAGCAAAAATCCTCCAATAATCCGCCAAGTCATAAAAATCTATAGAAAGTCCCCAATTTTCCTCCATCCATCATCCAATGCAATAGTATGTGGGTAAAAATTCACTCTCTGTGATTATATTACACTATGACATACATATACATTATTTATTCACTCCATATTAAATGTGCTGACAAGGAAAAATCCCCATCCCCAGGACCCCAGCTAAAGCAAAAATCTTCAAATTTTCCGCCAAGCCATAAAAATCTAAAGAAAACACCCCAACTCTCCTCCATCTAACCGGCAAATTCGATAAAAATCCCTTTTTAACTACCGGTACCATGGCACCAATGATTATAATATATTATTTAAACGTACATAGATTTATTCACTCCATATGAAATGTATTGGTAGCGGTTTTGTCCACTATTACTTAGTTTATTGGATATGAATAGAACTAGAGATTCTAGTTTTGTAGCCAATAAAAAAAAGAAAACTGAAAAAAGCTATGTCGAGTTGAGCTACTGATGTAGTGGGTATTGGTTTCTGTAGAATGTGCCAACTTTTTACAAACCCAATCTGAAAGGACAACTTTTAAGCTTACTGATGTGTGGCTCAGCTGGAGTAGAGGGTCGACGTTTTATTACTATGCAATAAATATTTTAAAATATTTTATTTTATCAACCACTTTTAACTAAATACTGTAAAACCTTTTCTAAAATAATCTTGAAGGCTTTGGAGTGGTTTGGAGTCTCAAATAGTATAATGTAACAGTTTTATAACATAAATACTGTCTTTATTTCGATATCATTTTAATTTCTGAATTTTGGAGGGGGCTGGACTCTCTATAGGTGCCTCCAGCCCCAGTGGTATCGAGTATAATATCCATGTGGGTTACGAGGATCCTCAATAAGTGCTGTATTCATCAACAGGTCAGTTTTGTCAACATAAGCCTATTTTTCAAGAACGGAAATTGAGTTATTCCTGACTGGTGATTGATTGCGCGGGAGAAAGTGGCGCCAATGTCCACGTGTCCAAGGCCGTCAGTGGACCATGACCTGTCTGTCACGGAGACGCTCCTATGGTGACCGATTGGTCCCGACTCTCAAGGCACGAGACAGACATAGGCAGGGCTGGGGTTACCAGGCCACCAGTAGTAATCCTCAGCATAGGAGCGCTAAGTTAGTTATACCTTGTGCCAATAATATCATGCCCATTTTGGAAAGAATGTTTGTACATTATGTAAGAAAAAAATTACGAAACAGTTAGAAATAAATAAATATTTTATTAAGTATTTTATTTGAGTCAAAGTAATTAAACAATTAAATTATTGTAGGTTTAGAACTAAACTGCAACAATTTGTTATTCAATTAATTATTTATTTGTATTTCTCGGTTCTAAAAAATATCAAGTAAAATGCCTTTGTCATATTACTGTAATATAGTATTTTCACAAATTGTAAAACATTTTATTTCAAAACTAGGGGTTTTCTTTTCAGGGTTTATATTTTGCAAAAGATCAAGCAAGTTTATTAGTAACGTTAACAATCCCTTTTTGCTTTGAGCTTGTTGTTGTTTCTCGGCAATGTGTACACGTAAAAGAAACCAATGTTTCTTTTTAATTAGAGAAGCGAACTGGACTGGGTGAAGCTGAAATACACCATGCTGTGGTTAAGTTCCAAAGGCTTTTTTAACTGAGAAAAATGTTAGGGATCTATACAATAACTAGCTGTACCCGCGGGCTTTGCCCCGTTTAACTTCTTAATTTTCAAGATGATCTCGTTCGCATGGCTCAATCACGTCCTGGTTGAAGTTCGTTCGCTACGCTCACTCAACTTTAGGTTGGAGCTCGTTCGCTACGCTCACTCACCTTTAGGTTGGAGCTCGTTCGCTGCGCTCACTTGCCTTCAGGTTAACTCGTTCGCTACGCTCACTTGCCTTCAGATTAGCTCGTTCACTACGCTAACTCGCCTCCAGGTTGAAGTTCGTTCGCTATGCTCACTCACCTTTTATGGTTGCAAATTAGCTGTTGTCATTAATGTAAAAGAAATAATAGTGCTGCACCCTGTTGGTAATCCTTGTAACTTTAATGCTATTGAACATCATAGAACAGAACCAACTTGTTTAATTGAAACAGCTGTTAAGATTCATTAATTCCATTTCTCATAAGGTTAACATTGGAAACTCCAGAGCCACTGGGGCGGAGCCGATTGGATGGATCACGAAATTGATGGTGTATAAACCTATTCCATGAAATTCTACACGTATGTAGGTACCAAGTTTCGTGGCAATCGGTTCAGCGGTGTCTGAGTTTATCACTGCCAAATATATATACAAACATCCTCTTTTATACTTTTATACTCCTCTTTTATACTCTTTTAGACTAAAAATAATAAACCTGAATTAAGCTTAGTTTTGTAAGGATGTAACGCTATACAAGGTGTAATTTAGTCTCGACCATTGTTGGAAGGCAATATCACAAACAGTTTAGTTTTTACAGACAATTTTAAATTGAAACCCTAATCTTATATTTTGTGGCCATTACATAATGACTCTGTTTTTGCAAATTTTACCACTATATTGGCTGCCTGGAAAATGACGGCATGCTAACGCAAACACTTTATGCCAGTGTTAAATAGTTAACCATAGTCTGTGGCTATACTCGCTTTTATATACATTTATTGTTGGCGACAATAACGAAGTCCAATCAGGTATTTAGTTCAATTTCAGAAACAAACTCTTACATTTGAGCGGTTCTACTGAAAACGACCCGGTTCAATTTAAAATGCCATTATCGAGTTCAGATTTTAAGCCATAAAATTCAGGTTTTAAAATCGAATTTCCGATTAAAATTATTTAATTTTACAAATTTTTACAGGAGAAAAGTTTTATTTTAGCTCAAAGTCCCAATAGCGTACTATACAGTTCCTAATTTAAAATATAATTTTCTGCAAAGTACTAATATAGTTAATAAAAATAGTTGCGAGTGAAAGTGAAATTATGTTTTTATTGGCTGTTCTACTCCTCACATAACTGCTGGTGTGAGACTTTGCAAGAGGAACAATTAAATAGTATGATTCATGAATCATGAACATATTGGAATGTTAATTCCAGGTTACCTTAATTCACTAAAATGTCCTCGATGACTCATTGAAAAATGAGCTTTCCTCGGAAAACTTATCAACGTTAAGTAAAATATGTCTGTGTCATAAAAATCACAAATGGCGTTCGTTTTTATTGTTTTAGTCAGGGCCACAGAGAACAACAACAATACAAGCTAATGACGTCAGTGACTACAAGTCTGGCTATATTTTTAAAACTAATTTTCATAAAGACATGACGTGTAATTTTTAAACTCGAGCTATGTTGCAGGTCCTAATTGCTTAAAGTTTAATAGCTTTATAATTTGGTTTAATGTACACTTAAGTAACAATTTGACGAATTTACAGTTACTAACATAAATCAATCTCCCCCATGAACATAAACAAACAAATTCAACATCTAATACGAAAACACACATTTTAAAAGTCATGTATAATTTTTCCGTTGGAATAAAATTCTGACCGTCTGTTCTCTGCTGTCCTGGTTTCATATACGTAGGTTCAATTTTGTTCTGACCTCGGTAGCATATGGTAGACCAAATAATTATGCTATAAATTCACTTATTATTTTCAGGTTACTTATTGAATTGATCCATTTGCAAATACAACTAATCATATAAAGAAAATGAAATTTTGAACGGAGAACCACGTGACATCACATAAATTGACTGTCGTTCAAAATCACCCTTATGTGCTCCCGATTCAGGATGAGGATTCAGGATGGTATCGGGCGTTCGCAACCTCTGACAGGAATGTATGCAAATGTCGCAGCTCGCAGAACAGCTAGCCACTAGAAGCAGAGGTCAGTCTTCAGTCTTCACTATGGAGGCGGTCCGAGCGGTGCTGCTAGTCCAGCTGATAGTAGCAGGTGAGTGGCAAGATATGACTAACTGTAGGCATATTTATCTGCTACCTATACATTGGAAATATTCCAAATTCAACAAAATCACTTTATCATATGTAAATAATAACTGTAGTTTTAGTGTTTTATTTTCATTTAACCATATTATGTGGGTAACTAGCTTATATGTGGAGTTTATGTTTCATAAAAGGAAAATTATGTTTTGATGTTAGTGTAAAACGTTTTCTAGGCCATAGTGATTTTTGTAGAGTAAGATCTTGAACACAGGGACAGTTTATCTCGACTAGGACTTAAATTTTATATATATATATATATGAAGATTAATCAGTGTGACAGATTGTGTACAGGTATATAAATACTACTTACAGTCTTCGCAATCCTGTTAATTTAGCACTACGGCCGTTTTTTGACTACGCACCCGACGATAAGGTTATCTCCGAAACGGCCGTAGTGCTAAATTAACAGGATTAACAGGAAGCCTTTATTTATTGATATACTAGCAAAATACCCGTCCTTCGTACGGGGTTGGCATATAAGTATAAAACGCTTATTGCAGTTATACTCGAGCTTTGCATTTGCATTTTCAATGGGGGAGGACACAGTTTGATAAAATTTGCTTATTTAAATTTACGGTATACCATAGTATTACACATCTACCATAGTCATAATGTTCTACCACTTCACCTAAACAATAGAGAAAAATAAATTATTAAAAGTTTGCAAAATATCACAAATTATTCATGAAATTAAAAACATAAACATAACTGTAAACAATCCTACTTTGACAGTTCTCATTGCGTATCACAGTTTTTGTTGCTGCTTGCTGTAGTTATGATAAATGCAAAACAAATAATAGTGCTGCACCCTGTTGGTAAATCTTATAACTTTTTAATGCTTTTCATATCATAGAACCAACTTTTTAGACCAACCAACAGAACCAACAGCTGACCAAAATTCTTTAATTCCCTTTTAATATGAATACTCATAAGTTAAGGTTAACATGGGAAACTGCAGAGCCACTGGGGTGGAGCCCGAAAGGATTTTTCAGGAAAAAAATATGCCTATATGTTAATCGGGAATGTGAGCTATCATTATGAAAAATTTCAGCCCAATCAGTCCAGTCGTTAAAGCGTGATTGAACTTCAAACAAACAAACACACAAACTTTCACATTTATAATATTAGTAAGGTATATGTTCAATTTTGTCTCATGGAGGGCTCCGAAACACCAGTCGTGATATTATAGTTAATATCATGAAGCGTAGACTTTCAGCTATAGCGCATTGGAAGCTATAGCTAGCGTTCATTATAGCTAACAGCTATCGGTAAAAGGGCGGATTCGAACCCGGGACTCCAAGACTGGAGTGCTCAAACTACTACAAACATTTCTTGCAAATTATGGTTTAAAATACTGTACCTACATTTTATAGTTTGTTCTAACTCTTTTCTATGAATTAATGTAGGTTTTATTATGTAGTTCATGTAATGTTATATGTTGCAATAGGTACTAAAACATACGAAAATATGTATTAACTTACTGATTGACATAAAGTACATAAGGATTTGAGTGGTAATTGTACATGTTTGCAAATTGTAAGATGTATTTTGAGACCTTAAGATTTTCACTTTTGTTTAGTTTGTGTTTATATTTTTTCAAAATCACGCATTAGCTGAAACCTAAGCTATGCTCAGTATGCTTTAAAAAAACCCATTTTAACATTAGTTTATTAAATCAACTATATACATATAAATATACATATATTTATACGTATATAGTTAACACGTATATATGCTTAACATTGTGTGTTAAGCTGTTTATTTTCAACAATCGATTGTTTCGCTGCTATTTTATTGTTGCTAACCTAACAACCAACCGGACGACTGTACTTCATTTTGACACACGTTTTCCTGGTTTCAGAAAGAGAATTATTATTGACAATACTGTACAACCTGAGTATTTTACGTTTTGGCTGTAAACGGTTATACATGTAAATAGACACCGTGATGTTCTATTTACAAACAGTTACTGAAAACGATACCGTAGACTCATATGAAACAATATCTGCAAATGTGGTTGACCATGACAATTCTTTCGAAGGTTTATTGTTGTTAACTTGTTAACAACACAACATTGTGTGTTAAGCTGTTTATTTTCAACAATCGATTGTTTCGCTGCTATTTTATTGTTGCTAACCTAACAACCAACCGGACGACTGTACTTCATTTTGACACACGTTTTCCTGGTTTCAGAAAGAGAATTATTATTGACAATACTGTACAACCTGAGTATTTTACGTTTTGGCTGTAAACGGTTTACTCAATGGTGTTTCGCCCAATATTCAAATGTCAGTTTCAACCTATTTTCAAACTACCTGTCTAATAAAGATTAGCTGTATCGGTGTAAAAATAATCGATATTATTACTTGGCAATGAGTTTTGTTTAGAGAGAAACGATTAATAAATAAACTTGTGTTTCAAAAAGTTTGGCAAATTTACCAATTTTGACGACAGTATTAATTAAGTCTTTTAAGTAAAACTTGGGGCCAGAAGAACTTTTTCGTGTTTTAAACCAATGCAGCCAAACTCCGTCAGCTCAAATTGTTATAGTGTACATTTTGTTATACATACAGGTTCTATTAATTTTCTAATTTTCCCATACATTCTCAGATTTTTAAGGAATTTTGTTCTAACGTGCAAACAAAACATCTATAAACCAATTACAATATGGTTTGGGGTAGTTAGTAACAGAAATAAGTGAAAAAGAAATTTGCAACATACAATTTTCAAGATATTAAAACATGCCAACCGCTGTACGTTGTCTCCCATGTCATCACTGGTGTATTTTAAATTCATTGCTGAGAACTGCTTTTTGTGACTACCAAATTTCGAAAACTTGTTAAACTACAGGCTTTTGATTTAATTTCAGCATATAAATTTTAAGGGCTGTTTAGAAGGGTAATTTAAAAGTATTAAATTTATAAATGCAATACATATAAATATACTGTTTTCTAGTCTAGGTTTTACAACATTAGTAGCTCTTCTCAGGCCGAAACGAATTGCTCTCTGTTGCATTGTTGACATTTCACTAAACCCAACAACTGCATGTTGATAGTTAAATTCTAAACAGATATGCTAACTACAGAAAATAACGTCTTGTATACACGACACAAATGGGTTACTGAGATAAAATATTAAATCATTAGTGTCGGTCACGTAAAACTTGTATAGCCATCATAAGTGACATTATTTTGAACGTAACTCCTCTATTATTGGTTACATAAGGAAAGTGTATACGTATAATGACTGTCGGACGATTATGTCCTTAACAGTATAGATTTGTAAAAAATGTGATCATTTTAGAGATATTCACAGAAATAGTCAAATATCCACACGTCTCTTGATACGAATTGTGGATATTTATAGGGATGATCTGTGGATGCGATAACCATTTCTAGTAAAATTATTAAGAGTATTAAAAATATTTCCAACATCCATTCCTCAAAACAGTAACAGATACAATGTAATTTTAACATCCTACCTCAATTAGATGTATAACAAGGTGAAAATCTTCCAGCAGTCAGAGAACTTGTTTACTAATCAAAGTAAGATACTATTAAATATTACTTTACTATTATTCTACATTTGATGAAGTTTTGTAACGGATGAAATCAGCTGATGTATCATCAAACATGAATAACGTCGAGAACTTGTTTCAGGTATCGAAGCGGCTCTGACCAGAGGTCAACAACGTGCTGCTGCTGCCGTGGAGAAAGGTAAGTGGGTATAATCGCAAACATCTCATTTCTCTATGCCTAAATGATACAAAACAATATGATTAGCTGGATAAACTTCTTGTCTTGTCTAAGGGTAAATAACAGTTTTTTTTTCAAATTTAAACTATTTCATTTTTTACGTAAATAGTATGATATTTAACAGGGAACATTGTCATCGTATATTGTCAGTTGTTGCTAATTATAATTTGCTTACCCAGACAGGAAGAGTTGTTATACTCAGTTTGGTGGTATTGAAATGTATGTGCAACAATAGTTGAAGATAGTACTTCGACTCCTTACATGAAGAAGGCTTTGCAGCTGCATATTTTTATGCTTTTAAAGTAGATGAAATATCTCTGTCAAACTCTCGAACACATTCTGAAGCTTAGACAATTATTGTTGCGTATCTAGAAGCGTTGCAAAAGTGGAACTAAACAAATGGAACTATTAAAAAGAACAGAGCATTTATAGACGTAATCAACACGCGTTTAAGTGTATCAAAATCATCCGTTAGGTTATAACAATATAACTATAATTCTATAGTGTTCGCCTTCAAATCTGGAGGATGCTCTGGTTTGATCTAAGCTAGTTTGATGTAACAAGATGAAATTTGTCATTAGGCTTTTGATTAATGCTGTTTTCCGAATCCTAAGCAAGGTCGATGTTAGCCGGTAATAAACGTTCCTTACGACGTAAAAAAGCGTCGAAGCACACAAAAAACATACAGCAATTTCATGAACTCATACTATAATATTGTAACATATAGGTTTTCCATTTGCAGGTTGACCAACCTTTACCGGTGAAATGGGTTTACAGATGTTACAGCCAAGGTTTCTTGTATTATTGTGGCCCATTAAGGCAAGTCCTGTCGTAAAACGCGGCCTAACCAGTGTCTGACCCTGGCATACGTAATGAGGAACTCGAGGTACCGCTCCAGCACCCACGCCATTATAAATCGTTATTCATAATCATAACGTCGTCTAATTTCCTGCTAGCCATCTTTAACTTTGATGCGAGAAAAAAACGTGGAAGAAACTCAGAGTGATTGGCCACATTTAAATTGCACGGATGTAATACAGCTCAAAAACAATCATTGTTTTGTGCACTAACGAAGCCATCCCGGTGTTTTTATGACAGCTGTGTTGCGTTTTTGTACAATCTTTTAAGCGATTTCTTGATTGCAAGGTGTTAAAACCACCGGTTCTAATATTTTTGAGCCTCAAATTAACAAAGCCATTCTGGACTTTTATATGACGAATTTGTTACGTTTTTGTAGCATTCTCAGAGCTTTCTTAAATTACAAGGATATAAAACAATACAGACTGCTAAAACATCTGTTGGTTTGTCAATATGGAAGCGAAGCTGTGTTACATTTAGCCATTTTGTAGTTTTGCAGTTCATTCTCTGACACCAATAATTCCCTAGCTAGAAAATAGTCGCAGAGATAGTTTGCAATTGTTTGTAAGTCGAACACAAATTATTCACTATTAGCAGGCGTCTTTCTAAGTTTGGTAATGAGGTAGTGTCGTGTAAACGCGGAATTTGGCGAATAGCCTTTTTGATGCTAGGAAAAATCATTCCCTTTAAAAAAAGAGAGCCGAAAGTATAACCTAAAACTACAGAGAAATGTATATTGAAGCGCATAATTACTGTAGATTTTACTATAGAACGAGAAATATACTTGCAGATCCTCCAAAAAATTACGTAAAATTAACTCATTAACTCATTGTTGTGCATTGTTGTTAAGTCAGTTATCTCCAAATTTAAAACGAATATTTTCAACTTAAAAGGAGAGAGTTCTGAACAACCATGGCCTAAGTTTCCATTCGTAATCAAATTGATCACGTCTTGTTCTACACATTAAACCGAACAACAACAATAGGCTTGTGACAATGTCAAAATCAGCTGGTTTCACCGGAGAGCCCAGCTGATCGGTATCAATGCCACCACTACCTTGATTGAGCAACTGTGTGACTATTTTTGAAAAGAAACTAAATTCCTTCATTTCCTATATTTCAAGCATATACTAGTAAGTTGGCTACAGAGTAAGTTGGCTATTTATTGAAATACAGTTTTGTACATGCAACTTTAACCTCTTTTTGGACTATATTATTTAACAGTACGGATTATTAACTTTTGCAATACTTACACAAATAAAAAAACGATTTGAACTTTTGAACGATTTGAACAACCCATTTAAATAGTCAAATAAAACATTATTAATGTAAAAAATAAAATTTTGCTAACAAAAGGAATATTGGTAGATAAGTAAAGTTTTTGTAAGTTAATAAATAAATAAAAATGTCTTTATTTAAGTGATTCTCTGGTCAATCTCTGTCAATATGAGTTTATTTAAGCTTTATTCTTGGGTAACCTAAGACGATTTGTGATAGAACTCATAGATTTTGTGTGAAAATGTTCAATTTGAAAGATTTACAAGCCATTTTAAAGAACTAAAAAATACAAATACTAACAAGTACTAACAAGTAAATTTAAGTGTTTTTGTACAGTTATTGGTTACAGAAAAAAATTTAAAAAATTGTAAATTTGAAATCAAAATGCTATTCTCACGGAAAATAAGTAAACTGTAAACTGTTATAGTTTACTTGGTTATGTGTATCTTTAAAAAAAAACTTGGCAAATTTATTTACTTTGTACTAAGCTATTATTTTTTACTATAACCAATGACTATACCTATATAACTAAATAGTCAATGCTAAAACACACAATTTATTACCTTTCCTGTAGCAAACCTGGTTACTCATTAAACCTAATGTTATTTAAATAGATTTAAGTGAAAATGGGCATTCCCTTAGTCAGCAAGGTTTGCTGATGAGGTTTTTTTTTTGTAAATTATGCTCACATTAGGTTAAATTTTTGTTTTGCGGCATTAATTTGTATTTTATATATTTAAGTTCGAACACTTACTATATAACTTTGCTTTAGATGGCAAGTACTGGCTAGACCAAGGCCTGAGGGACATTCAAGAAAGACTGACCCGGCGTCAGATCACAGGTCGGGCCAAGAACGTCATTATGTTCCTGGGAGATGGCATGTCCGTGACCACCGTCACCGCAGCTAGGATATACCAGGGCCAGCAGGAGGGTCGGTCTGGGGAGGAGTCAGTACTCAGCTTTGAGAAGTTCCCGTGGACTGGGCTCTCTAAGGTGAGTGAAGTTTTGGACCGGGTCTTCAGCTATTTTTGTAAAATGTTCTACCAAAAAGAGAACACTTAGGGTATATTTTGAATATGAGCGCATAGACTAACTTGAGGTTGGCATCCTATCCCGATGCAGTTATAGCCAGTTTTAGTTTCAAAAAGTGTAGTTGAATGTTGGATTGTTAACGTTGCTCGTTGAATTGACGAACTGTACAAAGTAGTGCATGGTGTTGGTTGTAAATCTTGTCTTAGGGTGTGTTATGAGTGAAAGTTGCAGGATGTGTATACAATGAAGTGAGATGCCCTCTGTAACTTTGTTACTATTTTTATAGACAACACATTCCTCTTTACCTTTGAGTCTAAAGTAAACAAAAAGAGGTAGAAAGTACCCAAACATGAATTAATTTGTTTTGTACAAAAGGTAAAAGAACTGTTATTCCATAAGGTCATAATGCTAATTTCCATTTTCTGCCTGACAGACATACTGTGTGAACAGTCAGGTGGCAGACTCAGCCTGTAGTGCAACTGCATACCTCGGTGGTGTGAAGGCCAACATCGGCACCATTGGTGTGACTGCGAATGTGAAGATGGGCGACTGTCACGCTATGACCAACACCTCCAACCATGTTACCTCCGTGCTGGAGTGGGCGAGACGAGCCGGCAAGTCCACTGGGATAGTCACCACCACCAGGTAATCTCCAACAGACACAGCTTAAGGCCCCGGGAACGATATGAGCGGTGAGTGTCGAGCGGCACTCGAGCGTCACCAGAGTGTCAAGGGTTTACATGATACAAGTAGCGTTCGAGCGGCTTGTACTTTTTGCTAGAAAACTGTCACTAAAAATACCACATTTTGATAGAAATAATCTTATTACTTTACCTGGCATGTCAAATGCTATGCTCCCACTTCATTCCACAGCTTCCTAGTCAACGTAGTGTTCTTGAATTTGTTGCATTTATCATTCCACAATGATGAACGACACTGAACTTCACATATCAAACTTGAGTATCATTAACCTTTTTTAAAGGAACAATGTGTTTTTATTAAGTTTTGTTTAAGGACCACGTGCTTCTTGTTCCTCTGCCTCTGACATCTTGAACAAGACTGAAAACTGTAGGAAGAAGTATGATTCATCTCAGCGTCGAGTGTCGTACAATAAGCAATAGGACAAGACGAGGCGGTGCTTTTGACGCTTAGCGGCGCCGCTGATTGTCACCTGCCGCTCAGGTCTATCGTGACACCCCTCTTCAAATTTGCACGGCAACTTATGGGGCCCAATTGCAGAGCGGTGGCACATCGACGCAGCTCCAACGCTGGACGCTCACTGCTCGTATTGTGCCCGGGGTCTTAAGGTAACAAGAAATCGTGGTAGAGGTTGGAAGGAAAACTATGAAGATAAGTATATACAGCGTGCATGCGTTGTTACTTGAAAAGAAGAGTTTTTTGACTGAGGACTGTGGCTTGTAGATAACAATTGTGGGTTTTCTTACAAGTTCATGGGCCATATAGTACAACCACCGTAACTCCTTGACAACACGTTATTTTATCAAGCAACTTATTATTCCTTTTGATAACATAATCAACAACATTTTGTACATGTGACAGAGTTACCCACGCATCACCCGCGGGGACCTACGCACACACAGCCAAGAGGGACTGGGAGGGGGACCAGGACGTGAAGAAGGATAAGGAGGACCCAGAAGTATGTCCTGACATTGCTACCCAGCTGGTTACCCAACTACCTGGCAGAGACATTAATGTGAGTGTTTATGGATGCATTTATTCTAATTTAGGTTAATCTTTCAAGAATTTAAAATGTCTCAAAAGCAAGCCTTTGACTTTAAATAGAACTAGCTATTCCATTCCACGTTAAAGGATGGTTAAAGGTATATCCAAATTTAGAGTGAAAATTAATTTAGCTGAATTATTTCTATGGCAGAATGTGCTGATAGTTTAATTATTGGTTTGAAATTCATTAACTGTTTAACCAAGCCAAATGGAAAGGCCAACTTATTTTACACTACCTTTAATGTCACATAAAAAACTTCAGAGTAAAAAAAAAATAATGGAGAAAATCTAACTTTTGTCATACTGCAGCAAAAAAAGCTGTTTTGAAATAACTAAACCTCATTTTGCTAAAATAACATATTTGCATTTGTTTAAAGTTCTGAATAAAGTGAAAAGATGTCTTGTTCACATTCATGATTACCAACATCACAGACAAAATAACCTTAGTGATTGACCATGCTGAGTAATTGTAAATGAAATTACAGTACTGAAATTTAGTGGGTCAAATTTGACAGTACATCCATTGAGAACTAAACTAGCTGTTAGTACAAATATTTCTGTGTCCTGCCTTTGACAATCGTCACTTTGCTGATTCATGCTTAATTTGCTACAGGAAGTTAAAAGTTCTGAGATTCTACTAAAGTACCTACACAACATACTATTATTGAGAAAAACCAAAATAATTTTAGTTCACATAGTTTGCACACTTAACAAAATTTAAAGCCATTATAATTAATTAGTGTTAAAGTGTTAATTCACTTACAGTTAAAAGAAATAAGTTTCTTCCAGGCTATTTATGTTGCATTTTGCTGTTAATTGTCCTCAACTCACTGGGTTTCTTAATACTGTATTTTGAGGACATTGACACACAATTTAGATACCATATAGTGAAAAATGAGTGATCGAAGATGTTCAAATCTAGGAACTGATTCTAATTACAGGTCATTTTAGGTGGAGGACGAAGTAATTTTGTAGAAAAAGATATTAAAGACGAGGAGGGAAGAGAGGGAAGGAGAAAAGATTCTCAAAATCTGATAAAAATGTGGGCAGCTGATAAAGAGAGAAGAAATGCTACTCATAAGTATGTGTGGGATAAGCAAGGACTTCTAAAACTGGACACAAACACTACAGATTATCTCTTGGGTAAGTTTGACATTGAAGGAAACTAAAAATACTAAAGGTGTATTTTGATAAACTGTAAGTTTTAACACAAAATCCAGGGTTTCATTTCAAATCTCTCCTCCTAAAAAAACAAGAAAAAACCAAATAAACAAGTAAAAGATAACATTTCACTATGAATTTCTATTCCAGACATTACTAAGTGATACCTATACCTACATGATAATCGGCAGAAAATGGGAATTTTAAATTGGTCTACCTACAAATGATCCAGTGTTTTAATACTTTAATACTTTTCGATGAAATGGCGACCATACAAAGTAGGTATTTTAAGCCAAGTATGAATGGAGATGAGTGTAAGATGAGTGGCGCGATCTTGTAGCCTTGTTAGTGACTAAGGCCGATTTGGATAAGTACGGTAATACTATTTGCAATTAAGGGTGATATTTCATTATCTTTTGTAAACTACATTGTGTCAACTGATAATCGTTGTTAATTTTACTCCTGTATCAGGAAATACTTTTTTCTTACCTGTATTGTTTAATTATTACATGAGAAGTTGTATCTGTACCAATCTACTAAAGAATTACAACTCACTCTCACTCACAAGAATTAAATCTCTTTTTCTGGGTCCACCAACCAAGCACCTCTGCCTCTCTCAATCCCCTGTCTATATCCTTCAGTTTCTACTCCCTCCAAGTCGGTCATCACTTGGCTCCACTATTTTTGTAACCTTCCTCTTGGCCATCTTCATTCTTGATTATATTTTTTACTTGTTTAAATTTATTGTCACTCCTTTCCAAAATACTGTATGCCGTATGCCCAGCCCATCTAATCATTTCACATATAAATTGTGAAATGATATCACACACGGTACATCTGGACCTTGAAAAGTTATCTTATTCTGTGTTATGACTTTTCTTTCACCCTCCTTCCTCCTTAATTAATTGGTCCATACATTTTTCAAAAGAATTTTACTTTTATCCACGTTTACACGAGGCCAGCACGTAAGCGGGTTACGGGGCAGGTTACCAGCCTCTAGTGCATTTCAAGTTACCTGAAGCAGGTATGAGGTAACTAACTGCCTACCAACTGGCTTCATGTAAACATGACTTCAACTAACTACAGAGAATAACAAGAATGTAGGCTATATAAACAAACAAATTTAATGTAAAAGAATTTATCTCTCAGAAACCATTAAAAAAACCATACTGTATGCATTTAAATGATTACAAAATGTTGGTTTTCACAGGACTGTTCTCGGCAAGTCACATACCATATGCTTTACACGCTGGTAAAAAAAGACCTTCTCTCACTCTTATGGTACAGAAAGCATTGGAAATACTGAAAAAGAATCCCAATGGGTACTTCCTTTTTGTTGAAGGTGGACGAATTGATCATGCACATCATGATACTGAAGTAAGAAAACAATCTCAATGTCTGTTAACTATAAAATGTAATTTATTATCCATTTTATCCCTCAGGATTGATATTACAAAATTATGTCTAAAACAGAGGTATTGCCTGGACAACTTAAAAAGACAGTATTATTCACACGATAAGAATTAAGAACGTTTTAAAACAAAACATGACATATTAACTATCACCATCACTGTAAGAAAAATTAAAAGGAAATAGAATGTTAGACACTCTCTAAAATTGGATAATTCAACTATGTTGTGTTTGAACAAAAATTTACCACATCTGGCTCATCAAAATGAGATGTTCAGTATCATAATCTCAATTATAATATAAATTCCTGTTGACAGGCTAGGCGAGCGCTACACGAGACTGTAGAGTTCTCCGAGGCAGTAGACGCAGCAGTGCAGGCTGTCAAAGAGGATGATACTCTGATAGTAGTGACGGCAGACCACGCTCACACGATGACCATGAGTGGCTACCCGGCCCGGGGCAACGACATCCTGGGTCTGGCCGGTACCTCTGACATTGACTACTTACCCTACTCTACCCTCAGCTACGCCAACGGCCCCAGCAACCACGACAGGCATGACTTCTCAAGGGACAACATGGGTATGCTCAGTGTAGTTATCCATCCACAGCGAACCAAAATAGCCATATTATTTTAGAGTTAACCTTAGAAATCTGACTCTTGGTAAATATTACAATTTATAACTTAAAAATCATCAAAACTGACAATCTGCCTATGCAAACTGCTCCTTCCCTTGGAACAGTTTCTTTCCTACCCATCCTGCAACCACAGTCTCCTGGGGCCTTCTGCCAGTGTATGTGTATGTCTGTACTTATTAGGTAGTGGTGTCGTGGTTTGTATGTGATTTATATCCTCCGATTTAATAGTTGGAGAATATTTAGTGTCACGTTGAGTTATTACATTTTGTGAACAACAATTAGAATACATTGACCAAAAGGATTTTAAGAATGATGAAATAATAGATTAGTTGCTTAAAGAATTAGACAGTGACAACTTAAATGATGCAACGAGTAAAGAAGAAGATTAGTGTCAAGGAAAAATAGTGATAGCAAACAATGTTAAACATTTCTTATTTCCTTTTGTATTCCAAATTGGCTGGATCTGATTAGTTTTGATGAAATAACACCTCTACAATGTAAAAGTTAGTGTATTTTTACAACTTGTTGCAGAGAGGGATGACTATAAGTTCCCATCGGCCGTGCCCGAGCGTGTGGAGACCCACGGGGGAGACGATGTGTCTGTCTACGCAAGAGGTCCCCGGGCTCACCTCCTCACTGGGGTCATGGAGCAGAGCACCCTGGCCTCTGTCATGGGCTACGCTGCATGCATCGGACCTCACCAGCAGATATGCGAAGCTTCAACCAACCATCTGCAGACATAGCTAACCTCTGATCCAACCATGTACCAGTACTCCAAACTCCATCAATCGATTGAATAAATTTGAAAACCGTCCTGCATTGATCATACCTGAAACAATATGCAAACAAGATTTGAATATAAATTATCCAGCTACAAACGTGGACTAGATATTACTGATATTTGTGTGACATTAATGATATCCTAAAAAATTGGGCTTTTAATAAAGTCAAGATCACCATCAACTCTACTTTAAAGGCGTGGTTGGGCAAATATTATTTGGCGAGTCGATGCTGAGTAGGTTGCACATGACCATGAAACCATGATAGCAATATGGATTGAAGATACAGAGAGTGTATCAGGACAGTTCACTGTACTGTATCGGCTCATCCCTTGCTATGCTGGATACTTTCCATTCACAGGCCCGAAACCCATGTGGGTGTTAAAATTTAAGATTAAAATAGTCTGTAAACTCCAAAACAAAAAGATTTAATCTCAAAATGCACATCCTAGTTTGTTGTTGTTTTATTTATCTACCTTTCTCTTACATTTGATTTATGTAAATAACTTGTATATACAGGGGTGTAATGGGACAAGCACGTGTGGAAACAGTGTTCCCACTCTGCTTTTTCCTATAAACCCATAAACAGATAAGCGACCCATATTTTTATGATAAAATGAAGAGTGTTCCCACACTGAAAATGTAAGACTACACCATTGGATAAAAATATCTTGTTTCTTACATCAAATTACTAATTACTAATTGACTAGATCCTTAAATAATAACACTTTAAAATGGTTATTTCACACATTATTTTACAATTAATTACTGATTAAATCAAATAAAATAAAGTTGGTATGGTAATGGAGTTCCTAGAGTTAAAAGGTGTCTGAACTTAATCACAGTAAAGGTTAAGACGGATAGGAATAGAAAATGCAATTTACAAAAACAACTGAGAGGGATGCAAGGGAACACATGCAACTATATGCAAGTCGGGATGTGGCACTTCAAGTTCTGATGGCCGATACCTGCTACATTTACTTTACATAACCAACTGTTCGCTTACAACTATCTTTGTTGAACTTAACTCAATAGAATTGGCTTAAACTGTCTGACATGCACTGCAGCTTGTTGCTCAACCAATTACAATTCCATGCTAGGGCTTTAAGTTTTTTTGCAATAGACCGTAAAGTACTGGCCGCAAGATCCACTGTGCTGGTTGCCATAGCCAGAAGCAGCGATGTAGAAGGTTGGATTCCATGTCTCAGCCAGGTTTGGCTGCAGCTAATGCACAGTTCAATGCCTGTGGTAGAGCTTGATGTGAGGCCCAATAAAATAAAAGGTGGCTTGGGGGATGTTGACAAGATGGGTGAATTATGTCTGACATTTTGAGTCAAAACTCAAATTATACATTTTGCTAATTTTTGAATAAGATCATTGAGACTCAAACGGGTGGATCAGTATTCATAGTCAATATGATTCAATTGAATAAAAAACCGCTGTAAAGCTGTGTGATTTGTTAAGTCGATTTACTTCAAATACAATGTTTTTGTAAGGGATTTGCTAAACAGTGAGGTGACACTGTTTATTAATAGGAACAAGGGAGAGGGGATAGAGGCCACCATACATGCTCCCACTAGATTTAAGTTATGAATTCAATTTGAAGAAACCTAGGAATGGTAAAATTTAATATCAAGGCGTTTTAACTATTGTGAAAATCCTATACATCTAATGAAAGACTTGACGGCGTAGTAGACGGCAGCTAAGACAGCCAGTACTGTGGTGATACAGAAGGCGGTGACGTCCAGCAAGTAGTACTGGTACCAGGTGAGATCCACTGCAGCACTGCGGAGATGAGGAGCTCCTCTGTGACGTATCACGTACTCCGTCCAGAACACAGCTGTGTCCAGCGGACTCATGGGACGGTCCTGGAACCTCTGGGAGAGGGCCTTGGCATTCCTGGAGTAGCTACGTAAAACATACAACAAAAAAATTCATAGAGATTAAACAAGATTTTGTTGAAAATATGTCTAGTAGAGTCCCAATCTTAGGTTGTTTTGCCATGGGCCATAGGCAAAATAATTAAATACCATGCTCATCTGTGGTTATATGCTAAAATCAAACCTGAATACTGCAATATTTGAATAATTTTGTTGTGTTCCTAGCTTACCGAGTTGAGGTCAATCAGTCTCCTTCTGTAGTTAATGTTATCTTAGCCTGAAAAATGTTTTTCTTTTGTTAGTAAAGGTTAAATTTACTTCATTTTCTATAAAAATGGTCCGTTGCAGTAACTGACAGTGGTTTATCGCTGTGATAATTTTAACACATCATCAGGCTGGAGTGTCAGCAAATTATAGATCCCCCATGGTTGAGTACGTCAAAAGTTTCAAATTATTATTTATTCATTGCTTTTGACAACCATCACATTATGTAGCATAGTTATTCTAGTATTTACAGTAAAATAGGTACATAGAGGTTTTTATAAAATGAATCTGTATATATAATTATATATCAATTATAAAACAACGTTAAACACAAACAAAAACCAAACATTTAGACTTTTTGACCGTACAGTAGATTAGCTAATTTCAATGAAGGATATTAAACTATCAAGAGTAGATAACACCTACACTTCAACAGCAGTTAGTACAAAAAACCATCACTAATAATACACCAGCACCAAGGTAATAATCATATATCAGATTATTACCAATTTTAAATCGATAACTCCCTACCATAAGCCTTCTAAAATTATATAACATTCTTCAAAACAAAATAGAAAAGCGTAGATCACAAAAGAGGAAACCTAGCAACTTATGTTAAGTTGAACCATTATACTTGTCATATGTTTGTTGTTCTTTAATATTTATTTAGTTATTATTAAGATCATCTGGAGATTGTTTTTGTATTGTATTTAAAAATAATTCAGTTGGTAACATATTATTCCTAAGATAAAAATTGTTAATCAATATAAAACTTCTTTATTTGACATGGTGGCAGCGGTTTAGTTTTTTTAAAAATGCCAAAAAACAATAGATTATCAATCAGAGGAAACAAATCAAATCAATCATCAGAAACACATAATGTTCTAGAACCAAGACAGCAGCAAAATAGGACTACACCAGTCATGTTTCAACCTCCTGAACCTTTTGATTCAAAATATCCAGAATTATGGGAAAAGTGGTTTAAGCGATTTGAAAGGTATAGAATTGCATCAGGACTGGACAATGAACCTCAAGTAAAACAAGTAAGCTGCTTGATTTACTGTATGGGGCCTGATTCTGAGGATATCTTATCAACAGCACACCTCTCAGAAGATGACAAAGCCTCATATGAATCGGTAACAGAAGCTTTTGACAACATATTTACTGGCAAAAGAAATGTCATATACGAACGAGCAAAGTTTAATTCAAGATCACAACAACCAGATGAATTATTTGATACATTTCTGGCAGACATAAGCTCAATGGCCGAACACTGTTCATTCAAGAACCTTAAAGCAGAACTAATACGTGATAGAATTGTAGTGGGTATAACTGATAAACGTTTATCGGCCCAATTACAAGAAGATTCAAATCTTACATTGGAAAAAGCAGTTCAAAAATGCAAACAAAAAGAGTCTATCAGCAAACAAGCAGCTGAACTAGAAATGATATGCCAAGGAAAACATGCAGAAGTTGACCGAATCAAATCAGACCAAAAACAATGTGCAAGATTTAACAAAACCCATGATTTAAAGACAGCTAGGAAAGAATGTTGTTGGAACTGTGGAGGTCCAATGCACCCCAGGCACTTATGCCCTGCTAAAGATTTAGCATGCCATTACTGCCGAAAAAACGGTCACTTTGCCAAACATTGCAGAAGCAGATTATTAGAGACTAAAACAACGGACAACACGAAGAGACTCAACGAAATAAGACGTTTGGACAAGCCTGACAACACTGAAGCTTCAGTAGCATATTTAGGACCTGTGAATGCTTCATGCTATGACTCCAGTTCTTGGTATGTAGAAATATTTATCAATAACCAGTTAGTTAAAGCGAAACTTGATTCAGGCGCAGAAGTTACAGCCATTCCTTCAAATGTAATTCATGCTAAACTTATGAAATCTGACCGTATACTTAGAAATGCTGATCAGAGGGAACTAGATGTAAGAGGTATGTTTATAGCAGACATAGCTTACGATGGGAAAATGGTAAAAGAAAAGGTGTATGTTGTTGCAGGATTAAATGAACCTTTACTTGGAATTCCTGCGATTAAATCTTTAAATCTCATAACCCTCAGAAAACCTGATACTGCAGGACTTAACTCAATCACCTTAGACTCTGTATTAACTAGCCACCCTGAGCTTTTTATTGGTCTGGGTAGCATTCCAGGAGAATATAAGATTGAATTGAACGAAAACGCTCAACCGCACTCGGTTCGAGCTCCAAGAAACATATCAATTCCTTTACGTTCAAAAGTGGAGACAGAATTGAACAGAATGTTAGACTTAGGAGTGATAGAAAAAGTAGAGTCTCCAACTGACTGGTGTGCACCAATAGTACCAGTACTCAAGCCCAATGGTAGTCTACGTTTGTGTGTTGATTACACTGAACTTAATAGGAATGTTAAACGGCCAAAGATAATACTACCAGATGTAGAAGAAACACTAGGGCAAATTAGGCGCTCTAAAATATTTTCAAAACTAGATGCCCAGTCAGGGTTTTGGCAGATAAAAATATCACCTGACACAGCTAAACTAACTTCTTTTATTACTCCATTCGGAAGATTTTATTTCAAGAGATTACCCTTTGGCATTACAAGCGCACCAGAGTTTTTCACTACACAGATGTTTAAACTTTTAAATGGTATCGATGGGGTATTATGTCACATGGATGACATACTTATACATGGCCGAACACAAGAGGAGCATGATTACCGGCTCACTCAAGTATTAGATCGCTTAAAAAAAGCAAAGGTTGTACTGAACAAAGAAAAATGTTCTATTTCCCAAACATCTGTGAAGTTTCTTGGAAACCTGATCGACTGTGATGGTATCAAGGTCGATCCTGATCGTATACGAGCACTCGAGGAACTTCCCCCTCCTAAAGATATTGCGGGAGTTCAACGATTAAATGGTATGTTGAATCAACTGAACAAGTTCATTCCAAACTTAGCTGATAAAACTGAATCATTCCGTGAGCTTACTAGAAAGAATAGACAATTTTGTTGGACAAGTCAACATCAAGAAGCCCTTTCAGACATTATACAGACCGTCAATGAATCAATATCTTTAACTAAGTATGATGTAAATGCTGAAGCTATTGTTATAGCCGATTCATCAGCATATGGATTGGGTGCAATGTTACTTCAGGTTGAAGATAAATCTCCCAAAGTAGTGATGTTTGCTTCAAGGACCTTACAGGACTGTGAAAGACGATATGCCCAGATAGAAAAGGAAGCTCTTGCATGTGCATGG